GCTACAATAGGTTTAATGTGTCGTCCATATTTTGTACCACCGCTCCAATTCAAAATTGCTAGCCATCAAATGGAAGGATAAGAGATCAGTGCATATGTTGTCAAATTATCACAGTCCTGAAGATGATATGGATAGATGGAGAGAAAAATGGAACCATTACGCCTATACCTTGTCCAAAAGCTGTGGTTGACTATAACAATAATATGAACGCAGTTGATAAATTTGATCAACTCCTATCAAGTTATAAAATCGATCGTCAGTGCAAGAAGTAGTGGCACCGCATATTTTTTTACCTTTTGGATGCTGCTGTGATAAATGCTTATTGTTTATATATAAAAAATAGATTTGCCTGACAAACTGACGGCAAAACATTTCAGGAGAGAAATCATTCATGGTTTGGTTGCGTCCACATTAGTTTCATCGAAAAGGCACACGGAATTTAGTCCAATAATCCAAATCTAAAAGGCGAAACCACATATACGTCTCAATTATTCAGCAGCACATCAGCCAGAACGGGGATCCAGAAAATGCGCATTATGCAGTAGCAAAGCTAAACCAGTCCCAACTGACTGGATGTGCACAATTTGCAAGGTACCCCTGTGTTTAGGCAAGCAAAAAATCTGCTTTCAAAGCTTCCATACGGCTTAGTTCAAAATGAATTTTATGTTTTTTCATTACATTTCTAAAATTTTGTGGTAATTTTGATGTCAATGAGATTTCTTTTGTATTCTTGCTAGGAAAATAAATACTTGAGTTAAAAGTTATTTTATTTGATATTATTCAACTGGCGCGGTGGTATAAAAAATAGACCACCAGTTTTTTCTAAAATATGGACACTTAAACCGGAAAAAACATTTTTTGTTACTTATTTTTAATTTTTTTATGCAAATTAAGTCAATTTTTTGATATAAAAAAGCGCTAAAACTTTTTGCGCCAGCTGGGTGAAAACTTCTTGACCATGTCTGCTCCGGTAACAGTTAATAAGCGTAACAAGGTAAAAAGGTATGTATGATAATATAAATTCCATAATATTTTACCTAAGAAGAAAAAAGCTGAGATAAATAGCCTTCAAAATTATTGTCAGGGACAGGCATTATTATGTCTTAATATTATTAGCTTTCAATAGACTAAAGCAAAGCAGGATCAATTTTTGCGGAGAAATACATAAAAATACCACCCATTGGAGCTAAACAAAAAAAATTAGCTTCATGTAGGTACTTACCGAACACCGCTGCTCTGAGGATCATTTAAATTTGCATTATTTGCCAAAAACTCGTACACCATTTCCACATTCATATGGGGTAAATTTCGCGAATCAGCTTTCTGATAACCTTGGAGCATTGTGCTAGCACAAATAAATAAAGTACACAAACGTGGGTCCCAGTTTATAATGGGTGATTTTTTTGCTAGTATCTTTTTGGCAACACTGTTTTTGACAGATGACGCGTGAATCGTGTCTTGTGTCATTGTCAAACTTGTTCAGTTTGGTCTATAATTTAACCATGAACCGACTTACGAACGAACAACGCTTGCAAATAATTGAATTTTACTATCAAAATTCATGCTCGGTTAAGAGAGTGCATCGAGCACTGCTTCTAATTCATGGGCAATTTGGTCGGCCTACTGAGGGAGCTATTCGGAAGCTTGTGACTAAATTTCGAACCCAGTTTACATTATTTATTGGACATTAAGCCACCAACACGCAGACGTAGAGTGAGGACTGAAGAAAATATTGCGGCTGTATCCGCCAGTGTTAGTGATGACCGTGAAATGCCGATTCGCCGCCGTTCGCAGCAATTGGGCCTCTGTTACTCCACTACGTGGAAAATTTTGCGACAGGATTTGGGTGTAAAACCTTATAAGATACAGCTGGTGCAATAATTGAAGCCACACCACCTCCCACAACGTTTCCAATTTGGTGAATGGGTGCTGGCAAAGTTGGAAGAAGATCCACATTTTTATTGAAAAATTGTGTTCAGCGTCGAAGCTCATTTCTGGTTGAATGGGTACGTTAACAAGCAAAATTGCCGCATCTGGAGTGAAGACCAGCCAGAAGCATTGCAAGAGCTACCAATGCATCCCGAAAAAATCACTATTTGGTGTGGATTATGGGCCGGTGGCATCATCGGGCCGAACTTCTTCAAAGACGACAATGGCCAGAACGTAACTGTGAATGGCGAGCGCTACCGTGCGATGATAACAAACTTTTTTTTGCCCAAAATGGAAGAGCTGGACTTGGCTGACATGTGGTTTCAACAAGACGGTGCCACATGCCATACCACACACGAAACAATGGCCCTATTGAGAGGCGAGTTCGGTGAACAGTTTATCTCACGTTTGGGGCCCGTCAGTTGGCCGCCTAGATCATGTGATTGAACGCCGTTGGACTGTTTCTTGTGGGGCCATGTTAAGGCTAATGTCTACAGGGATAAACCAGCAACGATTGACGCACTGGAAGCCAATATTGAAGCATTTATTCGTGAGATACCGGCCGATATGTTGGAGAGAGTGTGCCAAAATTGGGCCATGGCCATCTAAAGCGGAGCCGTGGCCAACATTTACATGAAATAATCTTTAAACATTAAATTATATCGACCGTTCTATCGATTCAAAGATTTAATCGTTTTTTCAAATTTTTTGTGTTTTTTTTTTTTAAAATCAAATCCTATACCTCTTAAAAAATCACCCGTTATAAATTCGTATTCGTATACTCTTCACTCCGTATACAAGATCTCTATGAGGGCGACAGCACGTGTCTGGCTACTGACGTCACGCGGTCTAGTCTCGCGTACAGGTACGTTTGCTAGCCTCGCGTCGATTCTTGATTTTAAAATGCTTCCCGTCGACGTAAATATTAATATTTCGCACTCAAATTTCTTTGACCGTTTTTTAATAACAAAATCCCTCGATTTTAATTAAAAACGAAAAATGTTGAACCTTCTTATTATGATTATATTCAGGGGTTCATATCAAAGCTTCAACTTTGGAATCAAAAAGTGTCTTCTGAAAATGTTATATCGTCCTCGGCTATTAAAAGCTGATATAAAAACTCATTTGCAATCGCTGGAAGACGAATTTCACCGATACTATCGAGACATCAATTCAGACTCACCAATATGGCACATGACAACAGATCCATTTGTTGTCGATGTTTCACAATTACCAGAAGAAGTTCAGGAAGAATTTCTAGAAATGAAGGCTGATTCGTCCATGAAAGATGACTTCCATCTTTAACAATGGAGAAATTTTGGATCAACAGATTGCCTATTAATTCGACACTTGCTTTACGAATACTAGTTTCTTTTTCTTCAACTTACTTTTGTGAGGCACGCTTTTCTGCCCTAGTTTTAATTAAAACTAAACAGCGAAATCGTCTTGATGATAGCGACCTGATGATAGCTCTGGCAAAAACAGAACGTAGAATCAACCAACTGGTACAGAACATGCAATCTCAAGTCTCTCATTAGTAACGGGTGATTTTTTAAGAGGTATAGGATTTGATTTTCAAAAAAAAAAACACAAAAAATTGAAAAAACGATTAAATCTTTATTTGAGTCGATAGAACGGTTCGATATAATTTAATGTTTAAAGATTATTTCATGTAAATGTTGGCCGCGGCTCCGCTTTAGATGGCCCATGCGCAAGGTCCAATTTTGGCACACTCTCTCGAACATATCGGCCGGTATCTCACAAATAAATGCTTCAATATTGGCTTCCAGTGCGTCAATCGTTGCTGGTTTATCCCTGTAGACATTAGCCTTAACATGGCCCCACAAGAAAAAGTCCAACGGCGTTAAATCACACGATCTAGGCGGCCAATTGACGGGCCCCAAACGTGAGATAAACTGTTCACCGAACTCGCCTCTCAATAGGTCCATTGTTTCGTGTGCGGTGTGGCATGTGGCACCGTCTTGTTGAAACCACATGTCAGCCAAGTCCAGCTCCTCCATTTTGGGCAAAAAAAAGTTTGTTATCATCGCACGGTAGCGCTCGCCATTCACAGTTACGTTCCGGCCATTGTCGTCTTTGAAGAAGTACGGCCCGATGGTGCCACCGGCCCATCATCCACACCAAACAGTGATTTTTTCGGTATGCATTGCTTCTGCTGGTCTTCACTCCAGATGCGGCAATTTTGCTTGTTAACGTACCCATTCAACCAGAAATGAGCTTCGTCGCTGAACCCAATTTTTCGATAAAAATGTGGATCTTCCTGGAACTTTGCCAGCGCCAATTCACCAAATTGGAAACGTTGTGGGAGGTCGTGTGGCTTCAATTCTTGCACCAGCTGTATCTTATAAGGTTTTACACCTAAATACTGTCGCAATATTTTCCACGCAGTGGAGTAACAGAGGCTCAATTGCTGCGAACGGCGGCGAATCGACATTTCACGGTCATCACTAACACTGGCGGATACAGCCGCAATATATTCTTCAGTCCTCACTCTACGTCTGCGTGTTGGTGGTTTAATGTCCAATAATGTAAACTGGGTTCGAAATTTAGTCACAAGCTTCCGAATAGCTCCCTCAGGAGGCCGACCAAATTGCCCATAAATTGGAAGCAGTGCTCGATGCACTCTCTTAACCGAGCATGAATTTTGATAGTAAAATTCAATAATTTGCAAGCGTTGTTCGTTCGTAAGTCGATTCATGGTTAAATTATAGACCAAACTGAACAAGTCTGACAATGACTCAAGACACGATTCACGCGTCATCTGTCAAAAACAGTGTTGCCAAAAAGATACTAGCAAAAAAATCACCCATTACCTACTCTTATTTTATTCAAGTTTTTCGATAAAAAACATTTATTAGTTTGTTTAAACTTTTAAAGTTTCTTTATTAGAATCAAAATAAAAGTATTTGTACCTATATAATGTGCGTTTTTTTATATTTATTGAAAAAGTAAATGGGGGCATGAAAATATAATTTATAGTCCGGGGAGCCTCAACAAAAAAAAGGGTTGGGAAAGCCTGGTTTAGATGAAGAAATGAAAGAGAACGCAAATTTATGTACAATAGTAAATTATATTTCGCGGTTCATTTTCTTTACATCAACATTAACGTACACAAAACATATAAAATACATAGCGTTGATACTTTTCAAAATACTCTGTAAGGAATGAATTTACATAACGTAATGATATATTAAAACTTAAACGAACTAAGTTCAGTCGCTCAGCAGGTCATCATCAATGTTGATATCCTGGAATCAAGATAAGCTTTTGGTTAATAGCAGTATTTTAGAGAAGAGGTATCCTAATAAATCGTGGATACAATTACAAGTATCCATATTATTAAATTTGGATAAGTAAGTTCAATTTAGCTAATAAACTCATTCAGAATTCGAGTTCAATCATGAAGCATGAAGAACAAATTCACTTTTGAATATTTGTCCATGGATGTCCAGCGGAAAAGTTCACTTTTTGATTTAAGAAAAAAAAATACAAACTTAATGAAAATAAACTATTTATTACTATCAAAATATTCGTAAATTCGGCGGGTTTTATTTCTTTAATATCATTCCGTCCAAATGTTTGCCATCCCTTCGGACACACTCTTCTAATCGCGCGCCCAAATTCTGAAACACTCTTGCAGAGTGATGTTGTTTATTTCTCGTCGAATGTCTTTGAGCTCCTCCAGTGTTCGTGGATTATTGGAATACTCTTTTGAGTTAAGATAACGCTACAAAAAATAATTGCATGGTATGAGGTCGGGTGACCTAGGAGGTCAGTGATTGTCTCCAAACTTCGATATAACTTTTCGAGGAAAAAGTGCTTTCACCGTGTCCATCGATTCTCTGGAAGTATGGACAATGGCCCCATCCTGTTGAAATCATGTATTTCTGTTAAATAAACATTCTGTTCTATCAACAGGCGCAAAAAAAGTGTCAATCATGTCGCTCGGAATTGAAACAGTCACCTTTGGAATATGTAGGTAGCTGTTGTTGATGTTTCTCTTTTGGGTTCGTTGGTGCCCAATATCTGCAATTTTGCTTGTTCACATAAATAAGATATTGACAAAATTTCAAGCAGGATTCAGAAAAAAGTATTCTACTGAAACGGCAATTCAAATGGTAGTAGAAGAATGTAGGCGAAATACGGTTGAAAAAAAGTTTACAGTAACATTGCTTTTAGATTTCAAGAGAACATTTGAGACTATTGAGAGGGAGAAATTGTTAACGAAATTGCATTACTATGGATTTCAATGTTCTCAGTATTCAACTTATTACAAAATTATTTAATCAATAGAAGTCAGAGAACTAAAATTGGCAATACATTATCAAACATTAAAAACATTTCGGTAGGTGTGCCACAGGGTAGCAAATTAGGTCCGTTACTATTTATTTTATATATTAACGATATTCCTGATATTTTACAACACTGCAAAATTCAACTATTTGCTGATGATACATTAATATATATATATATATATATATATATATATATATATATATATATATATATATATATATATATATAATAAGGACATTGAAACTGCAATAGAGCTGTTAAATAGTGATATGAAAAACGTAATAAATTGGTTAAATGTAAATAAACTTGAAACACAAACAAAACATAATATATGCTAATAGGAAAATATTTAGATCAAAATACGATAAATTTTACAATTAATCATGAAAAAATTGTGTCAATCGAATCATCTAAATATTTGGGCATATACGTAGACAGTAAATTAAAATTTGAAGGACACTGAATATATTTTCAAAAATATCCAAGAAAATAAACTACTTTTATAGAATTTCACATAACCTAAGGGTTTGTTCTAAAAAAATTGTGTACAACACTATCATTCTTCCTCATTTGTTATATTTTTCGACTATTTTGTTCACTGCAAATGGAACTGTATTTTCAAAATTACAAATATTACAAAATAAAGCTATGAGAATCATCTTAAATAAAAATAAATATACTAGAATAAATTTTATGCTGAAAGAACTACAATGGTTAAATATCAAAAATTTCATAGCCTACTTGGTTTTCATTTTCATATTCAAGTTAAAAAATCATCTTCTACTTAGAAAATTTTATTGTATTGAACAATGAGTGCCACAATTATTCCACTAGAGGAAGTATAGAGTTTCATTTACAAAACTGCAGTAGCAATATAACGAGCAAGTCAGTAATTCAAAAGGGATTGTACGAATTCAATAAATTAAGTAATGATATCAAGATGTGTGTCAGTTTGAAAATGTTCAAAGGGAAATTGAAAAAATATCTCATGGAAAACCAGAATTCATAGTAGTGAAATGTATAAAAATATGTAGTCTTGAAGACATAATCTATTTTGTGATATACTGTGTAATATGGATATTGTGAACATTGTAGCATTAGTGCTAAATAAATCTGAAACAAACAAACAAACAAACTAAGTGAAAATTTGCCACGTCACTGAAAACAACGTTCTCGAGTCTGCGCTGCGTAGGAAAAAGATTCAACATCTGTTCAGCACAAGATTTCCGTAATACGTAATCACTTTTCTTTGAAGCATGGACTGATTGGATCTTATAGGGATGAAAACCCATTTTTTTTTTCATTATGCCATGCAGTGTTGACCTAGCGATTCCTAAATCAGCGAAATGCTTCCGTACAGAACACCGAGGATTTGCAATGACCGAATCATTTACTCGACGCACATTGTCTTCGATTGATACTGTAGGTCCACTTTTTCAATAGGTTCGTACTTGAAATGTGAACATTCCCACTGGACACCCTGTAGAATTGAGTTATGTTTACATAGTATTAAATACTTAGTGAGCTTCCGAAACAGTTTGAATTTCGATTGTTGAAATATGGAAAGAGTCGATGTTCTTAAAACTAATTATTGCTTTTATATACGCTTAATTTGCTCATACTATATAATTCGTCATGGTCTGACTATTTGTGAATGTACTTACAGTGGTATCTATATTGTCATCAAGGTTGACCCCATCCAAGTCTAGATCCAGATCATCATCATCCTGATCAACTAATTGTTTTGATTCTTCTCCAAAGGTTTTGCTGCAACAAATATGGTTAGATAAGATGTGAGAAAATCAGGTGGGTAATCTAAAGGGGCATTTACATGGTTTGTCCGGAAAGTAATAGGACTGAGTCTGTTTATAAAAATTTATTGAGCCAATCGTTACAATTCTTTAAAAACTTTCAAAATAGGCACCTTCTGCGTCGATGCAGCGCTGCCAGCGCGATTTCCAAGCATTGAAGGCGTCACGGAAGGCATTCTCCGGAATAGCCTTGAGAGCCGCGGTGCATGCTGCTTGGATCCCCTCTGTCGTCTCAAAATGCTTGCCTTTCATAGGCCTTTTCAGGCGAGGAAACAAAAAAAAGACCGGGCTGTAGGACGGCTGCGGAAGCGTTGGATGTCGGCTTTGGTCCGGTAGCTGTTCACAAGAAAGGCGGTGTGAGCCGGGGCGATGTCGTGGTGTAAATCTTGGCGTTGACGGTTTGTCCAGGAGGAACAAATTCATGGTGGACGATGCCCTTGATGTTAAAAAAGACAATGAGCATCGTTTTCACTTTGGATTTGCTCATTCTTCCCTTTTTTGGGCGAGGAGACGCCGTCGTGTACCACTCGGAAGATTGCCTCTTTGTCTCGGGATCATACTCAAAGATCCACGACTCGTCATCTGTGATTACGTTATTCAAAAATTGGGGTCACTTTCATACATGGTCAAATTTTTTTGGCACACTTCCACTCGCCGCCTGTCCTGACTCTCCAAGTGCTCGGAAACAACTGACCAGGCGCTCATGCGTTAGCTAGGAACGCCCTCTACCGAATCCAGTCGGTGCGCGCATGCTCCGAAGTACTGTCATGGCGGAAGAAAATGAGTCCTATTACTTTCCGGACAAACCCTGTATATACGCATTTTGTTAATCGAGATGTTTGATATTCTGTGGATCATAAGGATGCAATTTTGTCTGAGTCACTCTCATCCAAAAGTGTTACCAGAATCGACCACTGCAAGAGTGAATAAATTCATTGTCCTTTCTGCAGACCTAGCGTAGACTGTGCTGATGATTGCCAATAAGCATTAAACAACTATACACGGTCGTCCATCTGTTGGTCGGACGGATGAAAGAAGTATTATTAGTTTAAAATGACGAGTAGACTATCTACTATCTCGTCAGAATCGACGCTCGGATTTCAACGCGAAATGAGGTATCTTTACAGTTCCAATAGACAGCTGTCATTCACTCTCGTAGTGGTCAGTTCTGGTAATACATGGCAGTTATACGTCCGATGGATACTTTGTTCTGCTTTCGCCAGTTGTCCTTCCTAGAGATCTAGCCTAGACTGCGCTGGCGATTCCCAATAAGCATAAAACATTAACGCGTATGTGAAACGGGTTTATTATGACATTTTTATTACTAATAGTCAACGAGGAAATGTTCTGTTTGGATAGCACATGTTCTCTCAAACGCCGGCCAGACCGGAAAAGAAACAGTTGTAGGGTCAAATCTATGCAAATATCAGGACCCCTATTCTTGAAAACGAGGGAATAGTATCACTGAGAGAAAGTGGACGTGGTTTTTTGCCTATGTAACAATCCGACATTCTGACGATGTGAACATTTGATAAACAAGTTTGTGAATGCATCCATTCTCGCAAAAATGATGTGTTCATGTGGTTTTCATGTTATTAAACGTTTCATCATAGTGGCCTTGTATAGGGTGAGGAGGTCATGTGGAGAAAAGTACTTCTTAGCCCATAGCCCAGCTTTTTTCCAGCAGCTGCCGCTATTGAGGAGATGTGTTCGTCTGGGGCAGTATGTCATCAAAAGGAGTAGGAAAACTTCATTTTATTGATGGAAATGTGGATACAAACAAATATTTGGCAATTTTATAAGAATCGGTTTTACCAGTGATGGAAGAATGTTTGACATCCCGCCAAGATTTTGAGTTTCAGCAAGATGGTGCAGCGTGCCATACCTCAAAAAAGGCTATAAAATGGATAGAAGAAAATAATGTATCACTTTTGAAATGGGTTTCTAGCAGTCCAGATCTGTCACCTATTGAAACTTTGTGGCACGAGATGAAAAAGGTTCTACGACAACATCCTGCTCGTACAATCACCGAACTGAGACAAAAGCTTCAAGAAATATGGGATTGTTTTACACCAAATTTTTGCCAAAACTTGGTTAACACTATGCCCCAAAGAATTTCAGCCGTAATAAAAAATAAAGGTGATGTTACCCAATGGTAATCTTTCAATTGTTGCTTTGTTAACTTCGCGCATTTATTCGCACATTATTTATTTGTTCAGATGTTCTATTAGTTATACGTCTAAGTGATTTCAAATATGTATTTTTTACGACTAGAGTGTATCTAAAATGTTTTTGAGAAAATAAATTGTTTTAGAAGTAAATAGTTTCGTCATGTTTAGTTTATAAAGGCATATTTTGGTATAAATCTTGACGTGGGCCAACTGAAGTATAAAGCAATTTGAACTTGAATGTAACATCCGACAGATTTCTGACGAATGGGATTTGGATGAAAACATTCGATGGGCCTTTGGTTTAAATGAAACCTTGGCGAGCAGAATAAAGTACTAAATTCGTCCAACGTTCTTCCACAGTACGTCTTTAAACTTGAAAGTACAGGAGACTGTTTAAATCGATTTGATGTTCAACTGAGTCAACTAATGAAAAAAAGAAAAAAAAAGTGGAAAAAACATCCACGCTATGTTGGTTTACCAAAATGGAACCAGAGGAGAACTAATAATGATTCGATGAAAACACAAAAAAAAGAAAAGATCATAAAAGCTAATCACAACAGATCTAACAGTTGATTTTCAACCAGCTTCCTGAATGTTACAACACTTCTACTTCTCCAGGCAGGGTCGGTTGAGTTGTACAACCTCGCTGCATTGAAAGTAAACCATTTTTTAAACAATGTCGTGTACATACCATAATACATATCTCTAAGTTTAATGAGCCCTCTAGTTATCAATTTACAATGGGGATAAATCAGCTTTTCAGTACATATGCACAAATATTTGTACTTTAAAACATGACATTCAAATTGTTAATCCATTTTCAGCCATTTTAACTTCTTGATCTTAGAGGAGACATTACTATACATATACCATACACTTGTTCCACAATAGAAATGAGCTCATTGTTGATGGTCAATGCAATCCCCTGCATTACTGTGTTATACAAGTGCTTATGACAAAAAGCATACAAGTACCCTTATCAGGATTAATCTTCAACGTGTGTCTCTTACAAAAATAGGTTACGTTGGCAAGATCGTAATTTATATCACACTCCATCCAGATGAGACAAGTCAAAATGAAACGAAAGTTGCGTATCACATGTAACATTATATATACAGGGTGTAAAGTTAGTACGGAAGTCAGGTGATAGAGGTCCGAAATTTTATAGTTCTGGATAGGATAAAGGTTTCAAACTGAAAAAAATATCGTGATAATACATATTCATGCGTTTGGCGACCTTAGTTGCAATCGCCTTCCTTGATGCGTTAAACTGTATCATACTGCAATGGGACATGCGAGAATCGCACCTGTTGACCTCTAACTAATAATTATACCCTATTGACATCAGTTTTACTGCTACTACAATCTTGGATGCGTATAAATTATTTATCCTACTATTCTTGTATGTCAACACTCAAGTAAAAGTCGGTTTGTACAGAAGTGATGTCGTTGATGCTGAGAGTTGCTCATATATTTTTAGTGTGTCGTGAGGTTATTTGTGTGGCAGAAATATTGAAGTTAGAAAGTATCGATGGGCATTAATTTCAATCACAGTGCGATTGTTTTATAAGCTCTGCTAATAGTATAAATAACGAATATTGTGGGAAACGCAAGTCTTCAATTCTGGTGGTGCAGTCACACTAGGTATGGATCGATTAAAAAAGTGGATGTGCGGTAATTTAGTTTAACATTTGAAACAACGTTACTGTAGTCCAATCATTTGGTAGTAATAACTATTGCGTTAGATAGAGGACATTCTCAGCAGAACTAAACCTGTTGAAAAAATATGAAATAATTATTAACGAAAAAGTGAAGCGGTTATTACCAACAGCAGTTACTAGTTCCGTATTCTTCGAAAGTCAAGACATCACAAGTACATGTAATAAATGTAAAAACTTGAAAGGTAAGCGTAAGTTTAAGCGCACAGGAAGGCCTTAGTTTATTGCTAAAACGTGACAGTAATTAGGTTTTTTAATTTATTGGCTTTGGAACTGAGGTATGACAGTGAATATTATACATCCAAAAAACTATAATATGTAAACTGTAACTATACTAAGTGACATATAAATCCGAACACCCAGTTTAAATGGTTTTATTTTAATAAAAGTTGGTGAATGTATTTATCTTACTGTAAATAACAAGTGAAAAAATTTTCAGCCTTATCAGTTGGACATTCCGGTTTTTATACTGTTTTTTTTTAATTCACTAACGCTCTAAAAATGAATATTTCAGCCGCAGTAAAGAATCAACGTTGGCGGATTTAGGTTCTTGACATCCTTTACGATCGGTTACGATGCCTAGAGTACGGAGACCTGTACGATTTCGTCAACTTAGTGAGTTTGATAGGGGCCGTATAGTGGGACTTCGGGAAGCTGGACTTCCCTTTCGGTCAATTGCAGTTAGAGTGCAAAGAAGTGTAGACACTGTGGTTAGGTGTTGTCAGGCATGGCTTCGAGAAGGCCTTACGCAAAGAGCAAGGGGCACTGATCGCCGCCGTAGAACAACAGACCGTGAAGATCGCCGCCTAAGATTATTGGCCTTAAGGGACCGTTTCTCCACTACCAGGTCCATTGCAAATGAATGGTTTGCAGAACACGGAAGACCTATTGGCATGCGAAGTGTTTACCGACAAATGAGAAGTTTTGGCTTGTTTTCATACCGGCCACACTGGGTCCTCCCTTTAACCGACGTAATCGCCTTGAGTGGTGCAGACAACGGTCACTCTAGGATCAGGAATGGAACAGTATTGTCTTTAGTGACGAGTCTCGATTTTGTTTAGGCATGCACGATGGTCGTGCCAGGGTTAGAAGGCGACGTGGTGAAAGGAGGAATCCACAGTTTTTTGTTGAAAGACATGTTCATCACACTGTTGGAGTTATGGTTTGGGGTGCTATAGCTTATGGTTCCAGGTCACCTTTAATCTTCATCAGAGGTAACATGAACGCGCAGCGTTATCTCCACGAAGTTCTAGAACCCCATCTTTTACCCTATCTTGACACCCTGGCAGATCCAACTTTCCAACAAGATAATGCCCGACCACATGTTGCTAGAGTCACAATAGACTTCTTTCAACATAATGATGTCACATTGTTACCATGGCCACCAAGATCTCCCGACTTATCTCCAATTGAGCACGTGTAGGATATGATGGGTAGGAGATTGCTCAATTTGCAACGTAAATTTTTTCACTTGTTATTTGCAATAAGATAAATACATTCACCAACTTTTATTAAAATAAAACCATTTAAACTGGGTGTTCGGATTTATATGTCACTTAGTATAGAACTATAAACTAGCAAGATAGCGGAAAAATTGACGTCACAGCTGTTACATATCAAATTAAAATTGTTACAAATTATCGAAATAAATGTTGGTTCTAGGGCATTCACAATAAAATACTCTAGAATTTCTGGTGTTGCGTCTGGGTATTTATGCACGTTTATTGTCATCGTTTCTGTTTGTTTGTTCTATAGTTCTTTTACATTGTTGTGTATTTTCTTCAATAGACTTTTTCACTTGATTGTGACATTTTAAATTTTGAGTTTTAAGTGTATTTTTTACATCTTTTGTAGCCCTGAAGAAAACGTGAAATAAACGCCGAAACGTTGTCAATTTGATTAGGGCATTTTTAGCACGTGTTGATTTATAAGAAAAATCCGAAGAAATTGAAAGCGCATAACAGACACTGGGATAAGGTTATTTCTTTTGGGAAATCAAATTTAACATTCTGAAGAAGCACATCGAAATCTATGGGGATACCAAATTTTCAAAGCTACCCCAAAATTTCCGAAAACACCAAATGATTGGAGTACTTAAAAATTTTCCATTTGGAATTATCTGCACCACCTGAACATAGTCGTACGATGAGAACAATCATTCTGTAATGCAATCGACATTTCTTCTAAGCATTGGTCTATGCTTAAACCACGCGTAAAGTTATACCGTAAAACTGCTATTATCTCACTACGTGGCCACGATGCCATCGTCTCCGCCCTTTCACTGTCAATACGAATGAACAACTACCCCTACAACTTGTCTGGTTTCTGGGCCACCAGACCTGACAGACTGACGGCAGACACTGACACTACGGTGACTATGACCCAAAGGCTAAGGTCCTCCGGATCGCATTGAGAAGCAACGACGAGTAGTATGAACAACTAAATCAACACAAGGGCGCTGGCGGCTACTATGCACTCATGGACATGTCTAAACATCCAGCCTCCTGCGTCCGATTGTTAAGTCATAACTTTTATATACCTTTGTATACAGGGTGTAAACGTTATGATAGTCATTATTTAAATGGGTGATAAAGGGGCTTAAGAGAAGCAAAAAGGTTCACATAACATGGGGATCAAAACGGCATTTTTTTAGAGAAAAGCGGCTTTAAAGTAAAATAAAGTCTGACAACGCACAATGCCAGACGCAAATTACGACGAACCCAGTTTCTTCTTACTCTACGTCCTCGAAATTGTCTATTTATTATTTCAGTCGCATTAAAATTTTTTTTCGCGAAGTTGTGCTTCCGTTGTTATTGGATCAGCCCCATAAACCATCCCTTTAATATACCAGAAATCCATCGGATTGAGATCAGAAGATCTTGCTGGCCATTTTCGAGGATCAGGAACATTTCGACCGATCCAGCGATTTGGATAATGTTCATTCAAACACTGAATGACGCCTCAAAAAATGTGTGGTGGTGCCCCGTCATGAAGAAACCACAAATTCTGTCTCCGTTGTAATGGAATGTTGCCTAAGGTCTGTTCCAAAGGTTCTGGTAGGTTATTGGCTAGAAAGCTAAGGTATCCTTCTGCTGACAATTTTTTGGGTAACTCGAAAGGGCCAATTACCTGATCGTCAAGAATACCCGTCCAAATATTTATTTTAAATCGTTTTTGGAAATGACCTTCACGAATTGTATGAGGATGTTCTTGGGGTCACGTGTGAGTATTATGGAAATTTAATATCCCGTCTCGCGTAAAAGTACATTCGTCCGTCGCTAAAATGTTTTTAAAAAAATCCGGATAATCAATGTTTTTGTGCAAAAACCACTGAATGTTAGTCTGCGAGGAAAGTCTTCTGGTAACAAGGCCTGCACTCGTTGTACATGGTAGGGATAAAGCAAATTCTCGCGTAGGATTCTATGGACTATGGTATGCGATAGTCCTACTCGGCGGCCTAATTCCCGAGTGCTGATTCTGACGAGCTTCACCGTAAACTAACAACATGTCGGCGAACTCTTGATTCGCGAAAATTGTAAATAAACACGACGACGTACGCGAACAATAACTAACCACTGTTACCGTTTGCGATCGATTGCCGGTTCGATAAGAGTGATGAATGACCGACGCGCTGTTGTCATGTGTGTTTTAAATATTTAATTTAATGAAACTTACTTACTGACTACAAATTTTGGCTTAACCTAGAAAAACTTAATGCCATTTATTTGTTAATCTATTGACTTTTGGACCATGGGTCATATGAACTGTTTGACTTGTTTTGACCTCCCCTATTACCCATTCCAATTTACACCCTGTATTTAATTTACCACAGTACAAATAGCCATCTTGTAAAACAACGACATCGCTATCATCCAGTAGCTATGATGCAATAACAACCAATTAATATGACGACTATATTTTCATGTATCAATTATGAATACTGACGACTCTATTCCAAAATACACTGTTTAACCAAATGAAAGGGATTTTGTTATTAACAGAAGATTATGTAATAGGATAATAGCATAAGTGCTCCTGACATCTCCAGCACACGATTTTTATGATGACCTTCGATTAAAGTTTATATAAATATAAACTTGAGCGAACTATCAAGTTCCATCAGTTCGCGAAAATATGGATGAACAGATCAGAGGTTGGTTGCAAGGCGTACCAGAACGGGAAGGCTTCGCCCAATACGAAATCAGAAGAACCGGAGCTACAGGCAAGAACGACGGGTACATCGGCGACATCGTTTTCGTTACTGTGTCCGGGATGACAAAGGATAAGCAAGAAAAACAGCTGGACTTGGTGATCAAGGTGTCCAAAGACAACCAGTACCTGAGAGATAATTTCATAATAGTACCGGCGTTCAAACAAGAAATACACTTTTACGACAAGGTGCTGCCAGAGTTCGAAAGCTTCCAGGAGGAGAAAGCGGTAAAACAGATGTTCCAGTCGTTCCCGAAATACTACATGAGCCTTGAATTACCTAAAAGGGAGGTTATAGTGCTGCAAAATGTAAAGACGCTGGGGTACGAACTACATAATAGAGAAAAAACTATGAACTTTGAACATACAAAAGCTGTACTGACAGAATATGGGAGACTGCACGCCATTTCTTTCGCGTTGAGGGATCAACGTACGGCTACGTATGAATCATTAGCAGGTAATTTTAAAATCGTATTTATATTCAGATCTCATGCACCATTTAACGCTCATCATTTTTTGATAGATACAAATTAGTACGATAAGGTTATTTTCACTTCCTATACCTTTTGTGTGAAAGCCTCATATTATCAATTTTAGCTAACTCTGTAGTCCTCATTTCCCATGCCTAGACTCAGTTTTCAAGTCAAAATTGCAGAAGCTTCAGAACAAATGATGCAGATGCATTGGTCTTAGGAAGTACAGTAGCGCTTCTTCAAAAATCAAGGAGTTACAGTGGCTCAGAGTTGATGGCTTATACAAATTCTCCGTGGCTTCATTGGTGCAAACAATTTTTAAAACTGGTAAACCTGTCTATTTACTCGATAAGTTGATTCCTCGTGGAAACCAAATTACTCTAAATCTGCGGCACAATGATCTAGTTTCCATTCCTATACATCGTACGTCGGTCTTTGAAAGGTCCTTTATTTATAATGCGGTCAAGGTATACAATTCTTTACCAGCTATCTCTAAAAGCTTAAGTTTGCAGCGCTTCAAGAAAACAGTCAAGTTGCACTTTCTGGACTCGCACATTCAGTGATAAATTCATTTTGCTGAACGATATCTTGTTCTATTGTTTTTCTGCTTTGTAATAGAACATCTGAACAAATAAACAATGTGCGAATAAATGCGCGAAGTTAACAAAGCAACAATTGAAAGATTACCATTGGGTAACATCACCTTTATTTTTTATTACGGCTGAAATTCTTTGGGGCATAGTGTTAACCAAGTTTTGGCAAAAATTTGGTGTAAAACAATCCCATATTTCTTGAAGCTTTTGTCTCAGTTCGTTGATTGTACGAGCAGGATGTTGTCGTAGAACCTTTTTCATCTCGTGCCACAAAGTTTCAATAGGTGACAGATCTGGACTGCTAGAAACCCATTTCAACAGTGGTACACTATTTTCTTCCATCCATTTGTGATATTACTTTTTTTTCACATATCGTGGCTTAATATTAACTGAACCAGTTACGTTATATCTTCTAACAATATTTCTCACACTGTACCGCGATAAGTCTAACAAAGTTGCAATTTCTGAGTTTGATTTCCCAGAATTATAAAATTTAATTATCAGTAACCGAATTTTCTCACTAATAACCTTTACCCATTTTGAAAACCTTAACTACCCAAAACTATTTTAAACGTATTCTGACAGCTGTGATTAATAAAAACAATTGTCATGGCTTTTATTTTTCACAGCCACCTATGCGTTATAGACTTATTTTGCATTGAAATGAAAATAGGTTGATATGCTGTAATTGCAACATGTGTTATTTTTATGCTGCAAATTTGATTAGGGAGTGATAAAGCTGGTGTTTTCTACTACACAGGGTGTCCGCAAAGTTGGGGTTGTCCTTTTCAGAAACAACTACCCTTGAAATAACAAAGGTAATGTGTAGTGAAACAAGGGCGACCAAGTAAAAAAAAATAAAGGAAAAAGTACTCACTCTCCAGTTGACAAGAAGGGCTAAGTACGTCTCTGCCCGAAATCATACCGCTCCAACAGAAAATGAAATCAGCTGATGCGCTACCGAGCAGACGCAGGCGGTGGTGCAGACCACGAACAGAGGTAACAAATATGACGGCGTTGCCGCGTTTTCAGTTTTTAGGTAAACGTACTTTATAGGTATTGTTCGAAGTTATCGCCGTTTGATTCAAAAACACAGGTGCGTGCACGACGTAGCCAAGCATCGGTGCAGGCTTTGAGAATGGAGTCCCTTCCCCGAATGAAAGCACCAGCTTGTTCAACTCTGAGACGAAGTTCGTCAACCGTATGCACTTCAGTTTTGTACACTAAGCGTTTCATTTCTCCCCAAAGAAAAAAATCACATGGTGTTAAGTCTGGAGATCGCGGAGGCCACGCTACGGGTCCATTGTCCGATCCACCTATTCGGAAATAATTCATTCAAAAACTCACGCACTTCGCGTCTAAAATGGGGCGGTGCACCATCGTGCAGAAACCACATTGAATGTCTTACACTTAATGGCACATCTTCTAACAAGGAAGGCAAAATATTGCGTAAAAAGTCTAGGTATTGCATCCCGTCCAATCGATTTGGGAGAATAAATGGTCCAATGAGCATACCGTTCACCATGCCAGCCCAAACATTCACCGAAAATGTTTGTTGAAAATGTGCCCGACGGACAGCGTGCGGATTTTCTACTGTCCAAACATGAGTGTTGCGAAAGTTATTCACCCCATTACGCGTGAACGTAGATTCGTCTGTCACCAATATGCACTTCAAAAAGTCCGGATTATTGTCATGTTGATGCAACAACCACTCACAAAACCGCACTCTTGCTGGAAAATCGTCAGGTTGAAGGGCTTGTACACGTTGGACGTGAAACGGATACAGCCCCTCTTCACGCAGCGTTTGCCACACTTTAGTTTTTGATACTTGCACTTCTCTAGCCACGTCTCTAGTGCTTGTTGAGGGATTCTCGTCTACGCGATTCAGTAGTTTTTCCTCAACTTGCACCATTCGTCGTTGTCTAGGCCTCCCACTGTGCCCACCTCGAAATTCCTCCAAATGACTCTCTGGACCAGGTACACAAATCCGCGGGGCCTTGGATGATGTCTTCTATGGAAACGATCTGCATACACTCGCGAAGCCTCTGTAGCATTTTGAGGACATTCGCCATAAATTAACAACATATCAACGAGTTCATTATTGGTGTATGAGTGTGCCATTATTTTTTTTTGAAACTCAATCGATTATACGGGTTCGTTTACCTCTACACGCGTGACCGTAACCGTCGGTTGAAGGTTGCATACTGACCTGACACACTGACCCCGACCCAGTTCTGTCGTCGGGTTGAGCCAGTGACCTTGTACCAGTCGGTGATGTCGCGGCTACAGGACGGTATTCAGATATTTTTGATGTTGCAGAGCCCTTTATCTCGGTTCCCTTAAGACATTGGTGTATATGGTACTAAGAGAAATTGCTTATGTTTTCAAGATCTACACGTCGTGTAAAGGAAAACCCCAACTTTGCGGACACCCTGTATATTATCAAAATATTCATTGTTAACATTTTAAACCCATATCACCCTGCTACATTTTTATTATTTGTGTTTGATAAGCAAAAAACTAAGATTCCAATAGTTGGGCCAACTGAAGTGGGAAGGGGCTCGTAGTCTATTTGTCACAGTCTCGCCGAGTCCATTATAAGCGGGTTGCAGTGTATTTGTTTAGGGCTAAGAAGTACTTTTCTCCGCAAAAACATGGTTGTGGCTCTTCAGCCTCCTTATTCGCCTGAGTTGAGTCCATGTGACTTTTTTCTCTTCCCGAAGTTGAAAAATCGAGGGAACTCATTTTAAGACAGTCAAAAACATTCAAACGACTATAAGCGACCAGCTGAAATCTATTCCAGTTGGTGTGGGTAGCAAAGTACCCATTGTCTAAATAACATTTTTTGAGAATATAATATTTTTTCTGAGCTGATTAGGTGCTTCTTTACAGGTAAATGCAAGGATTTATTTTTGGAATTTATGCGACTTCCAAAGTCACAGGATGCATTCAATCACGAATTCAAGAAAGTGTTGAACATTTTGAAGGAATTCGGAGAGGCCGACTTGTACCGCAAATTTTCCAAATATCAGACAACAGGCGCCAAGACGTTTATGGAAATGTGCGAGATGATAGAACCACAGAACTGTTTTGCACACGGAGATGGGTGGAATAATAATTTTATGTTCAAGTATAAGGTAAATAAGCGTTTCACGGTCTATACGTAAGGTGAATAGATCCAGTAAAAACAATACATACAGGGTGTCCCAGAAGTCGACGTCAAGCCGAAACCGGGTGATAGGCAAAGTCATAACAGCTATCAGAAAAATATTTAAAAAAATTTTATGTATGTGTTTTGAAAATTATAGGTCTTCGAAAAAGATATAGAAATTTCACACCCTACGACAGTCTGTCAACTCCTGCTACTACAAATATTAACTTTTTTTGGATTTTATTTTTACAATGTAGTGATGAATAATGCATCTTCAAACTGGTGTCTCAACCCTACCGCCAACTTTTCTCATTCAGGAAAAATTGCCACTTATTTCCCAACCAAGTATTTCAAAGTAAAACTTTGCTCAACTTTAACTGGCTGTACTGGAAAAAAATGTACTACGAGAGTTTGGCAAGTAACCTTAAAAGTTGGCGCATTTAATAACGATTCCAAAATGGTATAACACTTAGAAGATTACTCGTTAACTTATGCACAATTTTTATTTGAAAAAAAACTGATGAAAATTTTTAAAAATTTCCTAATTAAACAGCAATTATGAAAACGCACAAGGACCCTTAAGGATAACTGTTTGCACAACAGTGGGCGTCAAAATGCTGCTGATGATGATTTACCTTTACAGCAAATGCTCAAACTGTTTTCCTTCAGTCGCAATACACGCTCGACATCTTCTTAAAAAGATCGGGTTATTAAACGAGCGAATCCACGGTTATTAACAAACTCAGCTGCTTCCAATAGTCTTTGCCGTAGCTCAGCTACATTTTGAATCGGCTTGAAATACACTTTTTCTTTTACAGGTCCCCAGTAAAAAAATCTAAAAGATTCAAATCAGGTGATCGGGCTGGCCACGGTATTGTACCAGACCGCCTTATCCATCTGCCTGGAAAGTTTTGATAGAGATACTCTCTCACTGAGAGTGCATAGTGCGCTGGGCAGCCATCATGCTAAAACCACATGTCCCTATAAATACTCAGTGGCACGTCCACCAATAAATTTTGTACATGATTTTTCAAAAAATCCAAATAAACTTCAGCAGTCAGTCTCTGGGAACTCAAACGGACCGATTATTTTACCATTTAAAATTCCTGTCCAATGGTTTATCTTGAAGCGATATTGAGATTTATCTTCTCTCATCAAATGCGGGTTTGCTACGTGCCACTCGAGTAAGTTATGCAGGTGATCATGTACCCATCTTTCTTAAATGTGGTCTCATCCGACCATAAAATTTTTTCAAAGAACTGTGGATCTTTCCTGTGTCTTTCTAACATTGTGCGACAAAAAACAACTCGGGGCTCATAATCCCGGGGCAGGAGAGGTTGAACACGCTGTATGTGGTATGGATGAAGCACATCACTTACTTGCTATTGCACACTTTGATACCGATCAGTACTCCTTCGTTTACTGCGCATCTTTACATGTTCGTGCTTGTTGATTTCGTACTGTTACTAATTTTGGATTCGTGAACTGGACTGTTGATCGCTTGTGATTTGGATTTGGACTGTTTAATTGCTCTTCAAAACAACATTTGCTTTCCTTAGACGATCTTTGATAGTGTGATTGTGCAGTGCCGCTATGTCCGTGTACACCGTACAAGAATATGCTAACATGCACCTCATTTATGGGGAATGCAGATGCAACGCTAGTGCTGCAGCGAGACTTTACTGTGAGAGGTACCCGAATGCAGCTCGTCGTCCAGATCATCGAGTGTTCACAAATGTGCACCGCTTACTGTTATCAGAGGACCAACTACCAAACCAATCACACGGTGAGGGAAGATCTTTCCTTCCTTACGAAGACGTGGTGCTAGGAGCTGTCGAAGAAAACCCGAGTACTTCAGTGCGTGCAATAGAACTAAAAACAGGTGTGCCCAAAAGTACAGCCCATAGAATCTTGCAAAAAAACGTGCTCCATCCATACCACGTACAGCGTGTTCAAGCTCTTTTGCCCCGGGATTATGAGCCCCTAGTTGCTTTTTGTCGCACAATGTTAGAAAGACACAGGGAAGATCCATGGTTCTTTGAAAAAATTTTATGGTCAGATGAGACCACATTTAAGAAAGATGGGTACATGAACCTGCATAACTTACACGAGTGGCACGTAGCAAACCCACATTTGGTGAGAGAAGATAAATGTCAATATTGCTTCAAGATAAACCATTGGACAGGAATTTTAAATGGTAAAATAATCGGTCCGTTTGAGTTCCCAGAGACTTTGCCTGCTGAGGTTTATTTAGGTTTTTTGCAAAATCATTTAGAAAATTTATTGGAGGACGTGCCACTGAGTATTTACAGGGACATGTGGTTTCAGCATGATGGCTGCCCAGCGCACTATGCACTGTCAGTGAGAGAGTATCTCGATCAAAACTTTCCAGGCAGATGGATAGGGCGGTCTGGTACAATACCGTGGCCAGCCCGGTCACCAGATTTGAATCCGTTAGATTTTTTTTACTGGGGAACTGTAAAAGAAAAAGTGTATTTCAAGCCGATTCAAAATGTAGCTGAGCTACGGCAAAGACTATTGGAAGCAGCTAGTTTGTTAATAACCGTGGATTCGCTCGTTTAATAACCCGATCTTTTTTAAGGAGATGTCGAGCGTGTATTGCGGCTGAAGGAAAACAGTTTGAGCATTTGCTGTAAAGGTAAATCATCATCAGCAGCATTTTGACGCCCACTGTTGTGCAAACAGTTATGCTTGTGCGTTTTCATAATCGCTGTTTAATTAGGAAATTTTGAAAAATTTTCATCAGTTTTTCTTCAAATAAAAATTGTGCATAAGTTAACCAGTAATCTTCTAAGCGTTATACCATTTTGGAATCGTTATTAAATGCGCCAACTTTTAAGGTTACTTGCCAAACTCTCGTAGTACATTTTTTTCCAGTACAGCCAGTTAAAGTTGAGCAAAATTTTACTTTGGAATACTTGGTTGGGAAATAAGTGGCAATTTTTCCTGAACGAGAAAAGTTGGCAGTAAGGTTGAGACACCAGTTTGAAGATGCATTATTCATCATTACATTGTAAAAATAAAATCCAAAAAAAGTTAATATTTGTAGTAACAGGAGTTGACAGACTGCCGTAGGGTGTGAAATTTCTATATTTTTTTCAAAGACCTATAATTTTCAAAACACATACATAAAACTTTTTTAAATATTTTTCTGATAGCTGTTATGACTTTGCCTATCACCCGGTTTCGGCTTGACGTCGACTTCTGGGACACCCTGTATACAGCAACTTATGTATGTACGAAGCAATAGTGTGGACATAAAAGTACCACGTAGTTTTAGCGTCTCAGTTTTCATTTTAAAACACATTTTTTAAGATATTTTAAGAACAGATAGTCCGATTTGAACGAAATTTGCAACACACATGTTTTACTAGACCTTCTAATATTTGACTTTTACGAAAAACCCTTAAGGGTTCGAGAAGGGTGAAAACTACCTCCTAAATTATAGCAGAATTTTTTGGCAACTTTTGATTGCCTTAGGCTGCGATTATTTTTCTTGTGTTAATAAAGGCTATCGTTTTGATAGAAGACTTGATATCATGTTTAAATGTATTTAGTTTTTCTTGAAAATGATAGCAATAACTTAAAAACGTTTGGAAAAGCCTTATATCAAAAAAAAAGTTCACAAAAAAAGCTACATAACGATGTAGAAATATACAGGGAGTTCCATTTTAAATTTATGAGAAAAGGTACATTTTACGTTGTGAGATACCCTATATAAATAGAAAGAAATTTCAATATTTAAACAAATATTTTTGCTATGGCACGAAGTTATGGAACACCCTGTATATATTAAAATAATTGTAAAATATGCACTAGTAACATACCAAGGTTGACACGAAAACAGATTTTTGATATCTTTTCCAACTACTTTCCATTTTCGTTGTATATTAAAGCCAGTTGTCTTGTATGCTTTTTGTGTCTAACTTCACTGCAGGGATAGAAAAACGTATGTGGTTCACAAACACCAACGGAAATTAGTGACATGGATTTTCGTGACCATAACACATTGAAAAAAGCATGATTCAGAATTCATTTTAATTCCAGGACAGCACCAAATCTAGCCCTTCCTCGGTTTGTATTCTGGACTGGCAGGCATCCGTAATCCGTACACCGGTCTATGACCTCTCTTACTTCCTTTACTCCAGTTGCTCTCACGTCCTGGACCGATTTGAGGAACTGCTGCATATCTACCACGACAGCTTCTCAAATTTCATCCGACAACTAGGTAGCAGCCCGGATATATTCACGTTTGAGGATTTGAAGAAACATTGGAAGAAGTACTCGATTTCGGGAGCATTGTTTTTACCGTTCCTACTTAAATTCGTACTAGCTGAAGAGCACGATGCTCCTGATTTCAATGACATGGAGCACGGACAAAGCATTTCCGATTTGGTTGACATCACTTTGACAGAACATGCCAAACGGCAGTATTATGATAGGGTTAAGGCTGCGTTTCAACATCAAATCGAAACCTGCTCAGACTAACGGCCAAAGATAATAAGAACGTATAAAAACCAGGAGTATTAATCGGAATGAGCCTTGAGGGTGGATAGAAAGAGATGTGCAAGAAAAAACGATATCGGAGGTGTGAAACTGGATTCATCAATCATCGTAGCTGTTGGGGTGACGAGTTCAAACACACATTCATCCAGTTGCCATTCCTATGAATGTATCCAAAATACGATGTCTATTAGAAATATATGTTAAGGTGTTGAAAGTAAAACTTATAATGTGTTATGGTATATTTATTTATATAATTTGGCGAGTAAAAACATTCATGTGGCTCTTCAGCCTCCCTAATCGCCTGACTTGAGTCCATGTGACTATTTTCTCTTCCCGAAGCTAAAAATTCACCTCAAGGGTACTGATTTTGGAACAGTCGAAACGTTCGAATGGCTGTAACCGACCAGCTGAATGCTATTCCAGTACCGGTGATCCAGCACTGCTATGAGAAGTGGAAGAACCGTCTCCAGCACTGTGTGGCTTTAGAAGGGAGTTATTTTGAGGGTAACAATATAAGATTGTAATTAATTTACACACCTCGTACATACAATTTTTAAGGACAAACTTCACTAAATTCAGCATATTCTCAAAGTCGTACCGGTTTCACCTGTTATGCAGATTCGTCCAACAAATGCACCTTCATCATGAAATGATTTGTCAACTTGACGCAAAAAACAGTGGGACAATAATCCTCACGGGAAAGGTAACGCGCTAATCTAACTGCCGTTCATTCCTGTCAAACTTCCTCTTCCCGTAACCGATTTCCATTCCGATAAAATATAAAAATTTTGGGAGAATAATTACACATAAGTAAAACTTGATATCTAGTCTACATCTTTTTCTATCTGGTGATGTAAACTTTGTATTATGTAATTCTATTGAAGCAATCTTACACGTGGATCAAAAAACAAATAAAATAATATGACACAACAGAACTAATAACCTATCTATGAAGCTTTAGGTTTGTATACATTTCAACATACGGGAAGCTTAAAAGTCCAAGTCCAAGGTCAACAGTATAAAACATAATGATAGAGAATGAATACACGAGTACAAATGTCACCGATTTTAAAGGAACGTCCTTGTGAATAATAATCAGTTTGGGGAAATATCTACTAATTATTTCATTCGATGTGAAAATTACGGTAGTTAAATACTTTATATCAATTATTGTTTGCTCTGTGTGCATGACAAGCATAATTTCATATAACCAAAATAAGATGCGTATTTTGTTTTCAACAGAAAGTACTTAATATACAGTGAGTGTCAAAAATACTTGAAAATATATATATATATAACTTGAGACGTGGTCATTGTCGTCTAGACCAGTTAAGTGAAAAATTAAAGCTTCCGCTTTTTGTTGGGTACTTCGACAAAATTTAAGCAAAGAGGACTCTTTATACTTTTTTTAATTCTCTCTAGCTTTCAATGGACTTTGCCATCATCATCAGGAGCTGCAATTACAATGATAACAGTAGCAACAAAAATGTAAAATGAATTTAAATTGAATCAACTTACAGTAGTATGTGAGGATGTTGCTAATTGTTGTTTTCGTATAGGATGAGGGAAACGTCCAGTAACATGGTGAGAGCTGGATACATAGTACAATGGTTAAAATTATATAAAATATGACAAGACAAGTTAATGACAGATTAAAAATTATTTAGAAAACATTGGAGCATTACGTCGTGAAGCCACTTGATGATTGCACAAAATGGTGGTCATGGAATAATGAGTGAGATGAACCTTTGACACAATTCGTTCCATCTTTCAACACAGACATTGACAACCTTCGGCCTTCTGTCAAACGTTCATCTCACTCATTATTCCATGACCACCATTTTGTGCAAACATCAAGTGGCTTCACGACGTAATGCTCTAATGTTTTCTAAATAATTTTTAATCTGTCATTAACTTGTCTTGTCATATTTTATATAATTTTAACCATTGTACCATGTATCCAGCTCTCACCATGTTACTGGACGTTTCCCTCATACTATACGAAAACAACAATTAGCAACATCCTCACATACTACTGTTGATTCAATTTAAATTCATTTTACACTTTTGTTGCTACTGTTATCATTGTAATTGCAGCTCCTGATGATGATGGCAAAGTCCATTGAAAGCTAGAGAGAATTAAAAAAAGTATAAAGAGTCCTCTTTGCTTAAATTTTGTCGAAGTACCCAACAAAAAGCGGAAGCTTTAATTTTTCACCTATATATATATATATATATATATATATATATATATATACATCTCCACGTGGATAGGTCCTCCTTTCATAAACCAGCAATAAGTCACCTACCAGAAATACTGAATATATATCAAATTTAATTCGTGAATATCCGACACCAAGACACATTGATCCAAGATCAGTTAAAAAAACTGAACATTAACATTTCGGAATTCCATACAAAGTCCGCTATATAGGTATCCCTTCATGATGTGTCCTCTACCGGAATACCCTCCAGATAACAAAGCGGCATTACGTCTTCCAAAATACTGAAATTATCTGAACACCAGTGGATAAGTCCTCCGTGCAGTGGTGCCAAGTTTCAGTTATTTCTCTTAAGATAATACAATAATTGAAGTCTCCTAACTCGGGCTTGTATTATTCTATTACCTTCCAAGGATCTAATGCTAAAAGGTTCATGCATCATTCGAATCGCCTTTCGCTAAGAAATGTTTAAACTTTTTTGTTATAGATAAAATAAAGAAAAAATGTCGATTGGTGCTTTGTTGGGACTGTATGGCACGGCATTCTGAACTAATCCATTGACTCGAAAATGCGCCATACAACACTAACAGATTTCTAACTTTACCAAACGTTAATAAATTTTTTAGTGGAAAGCGATTGGAAAATGATGAATTATGGAATAAACTGTTATTTACGGGTTGAAAAGCTGATGTCATGACTCAACGAATATTAGAATTTTAATGACAATTATTTTGTTGAGTAGGGAACATTGTCATACTTTTGTGATAAAATTTACGTTTATAAACAGATTTCCCTTCATCTCATTGTAAAACCGTTGTTGCTTGAAAAATGAAGTAATTTTAAATTAAAGCTGACGAATGTCACTATTTTTTCTGAATCTTTAGTATGGTAGATCCCAAACCTTCTGTTCTGGTATTAGTGGTTTTATTTTTTCAACATTATATATTCAGTTATGTATGATTACCTTCGTAACTAAAATTTAAACTGATATTTTTTGGGTGTATCCTTCGCTCCTATAACCGCATGCTTGTCGTTTCCGAAGCAAAATATATGTATTTTACATACATATCATAAAAACGAATCAACTGATTTATCGTGTTAAGTAATTTAAATCTACATTTGCAATACTTTGATGAGCCGTGTTTTAGACATAAAATGAGATAAAGCCCTTATCCTAATTTTCTATTTTGAATTCAGATGTCTCATGTATGTATGTAGATTCCGGAGGATAACGAATATCAAAGGTTTTTTTTGTTTTTTATATCGAAGCAGCCGCGCAGGCAGAAGCCTAAATGCCGGTACACCGCGGCTGCTATGATGATCCAAAGAAATTTTGAAAATACGATTTTTGAACTGCCTAAGGTTAGTAGAACTACTCTTGTAGATTGTTCCACAATCTCGACACCCTCGGGACAAACTAGCGGTCGTATCGGCCAGTTTTGGATGTACGAAGTTCGACACGGTTAGGATGGGACGCCAAAGTCGGACGGGTCTGTCTGGCAGGCACATCGCGCGGCGGCATCATGGAAGAGAGCTCTGAGGAGCAAAGCCCGTTGGTGTAGCGATAGAAAAGAGCTAGATCGCCGATGGCCCGCCGGTGCGAAAGAGTCCCGAGAGTGCCTTTCGGAGAAGAGTCATCGATCAGTCGGACCGCCCTCCACTGGACAGCATCGAGCATGGAAAATGTAGTCGGGGCGGCAGCACCCCAAACGTGTGAGCAATACTCGAGTCTAGGCCTTATCTGGGCCTTGTATAGAATGGGAAGATCGTGCGGAGAAAAGTACTTCTTAGCCCTAAACAAATAGCCTAGCTTTTTCCCAGCAGCTGCAGCTATTGATGAGACGTGTTCGTGCCAGACCAGGTCCTCGGTGATCTGGGCTCGACCAGCCGAAATGAATGGCTCTTTGGCAGAACTCGGCCATGCATCGAAACCGGATGAGCGCTAGGACGCTTTTTGGTTCGTCAAAGTACAGTACTGTGTTTTGGAAGCATTGAACTGTACAAGATTGTTGCGTCCCCAAGCAGTGATAGCCTCCAGGTCTCTTGTCAGAGAGGGAGTCCTCGCTAGTCTTCTTTTTTCCAGCTCAGCGGCAGAGATCGGCTTGTCACTCTGAATTCCTGCATGTAGAGTGCTGTCATCAGCGAAGCTGTGGATTGGGTTGATCGTGCAGGAAATGAGGTCGTGGATATGTAAGAGAAACTGTCGGAACCAAGACCGATCCCTAAGGAACACCCGCGTTGACGTTGTGAGCATGAAGAGGAGAACCCGTCAATTACTAAGGATATCTTGCGGCCAGAGATAAAGTCAGCCACCCATCTGCAAAGCTTTTCTGGGAGGCCATAGAATGGAAGTTTGCTTAAGAGGGCAGCGTGCCACAGCTGATCGAACGCTTTCGTGATGTCAAGAGCAACGACATGAGCCTCACCATAAGACTGGATGAGTTTACTTCACAATTGCGTGACGTAAGCTAGGAGGTCCCCTGTGGATCGTTGGTGCCGGAAACCGTACTGCCTGTCGCTAATCAAGCTGTGGCGTTCGAGGTAGTCCAGAAGCTCGCGATTTATGCACCTCTCCATCACCTTATTTATAACAGAAAGCAGAGCTATAGGCCTGTAGTTGTAAGGGTCGGTTTTAGATCCTTTTTTGGGATGGGTTGCACTTGAGCAAATTTCCAGTTTTCTGGGAAGGTGCCGGTTTCATAAGATATTTGGAAGAGACACGAAAGAACTGGACCAAGCTCCGCTGCACACCTCTTCAGTACAATGGTAGGAATCACGTCCGGACCAGAAGCTTTGATGATGTCGAGCGACAAGAGCACTCGCCTTGCGGTCTTATGCCTGATTGTTACCTCCCGCATAGTGTAGGGAACTCTTTGAATTGACGGCACTTAGGCGTCGGTGTGACGTCCATGGTGGAGTTGGCAGCAAAGACCTTGGTTAGCACTTCCGCCTTGGCCTTTGAGTCGAATACAATAGTTCCATCCTGACACGTAAGTGGTGGAAGGCTACTGTGTGAGAAGTTCTTTTCAATCTGCTTGGCCAGCGTCCAGAAAGACGGACTGACATTGCGCTGCGACATTACCCTGTACCTAACTTTTATATCGTGCTGGTTTTTGGCATTGCGTACCGCTTCGTTATATTTGTTTCTGGTCTCTACGCCGGCTTGTCTGTTCTCTACAGTGGGGTTTTGTAAGAAGGTTCTGTGTGCCTTGATCTTCTGCTGGCGAGCAGTGTCACACGATTTGTTAAACCAGCCATTGGACCCTGGTTTAGGCACTTTCACTGTGTGAGGGATGTATTCCTCCATTCCGACGTGGATAATTTCTGTTATCGAAGAACAGCCAGCCGACGCACCCGCGTCAGTGGAACAGACATCTCTCCAAGGAAAGTTAGAGAAGAAGTCTCTGAGCCCCTCCCAGGTCAGCATGTCCGTAATGTCAAGTTTTGCGGCCTGTACGAGTTTCTGCTGCCACAGCGGGTTATGACCGAAACCTAACCTCCACAACACCGTGGACTGAGTTACCCAAGGGGAACAGGGCAGCAAAGAGATCCAGCAGGCTAATGACGTGTGACGAGACGCGGGAGAAAAAGTAGGGCTCGTCACCAGCTGGGTCAGCCCTTGAGTAGGAGCGAGCGCTTCGACTGCACGACCTGCTACATCGGTCTTGTTTGAGCCCAACCAAAGCTCATTATGGGCATTAAAATCACCGATAAGAACTACCTCTGAAGCGGAGTGATTGATGTTCAGGAAGTCGATCTGAAGATTTATTGAAAATAGAATACCTTAACTAACACCTCGCCAAATCCAGATTCACCTCATTCCCTCAGCCCCCCTACCCCCAAAAATTATTCGGAAAACGATTAGGAAGCTCTAAAATATTCAGAAATACTTAAAACGATTTTTAGTTTTGTCGTTGTTTAATACTAGCTCCACCGCCCGTAACCCCCGGCACCAAAATTTACAGCCCTAAAATTTTCTTGGAGGAATGTCTGAAACATCCGGAGGCGAAGTTTGACCATTTTTGTCTTCGTTTGTTAACGACTCTGCTGTTACTCCACCGATTTCCGAGAATATTCAAGGTTCTCTGTGCATGGCATAACAGCAACCTAAAGCAGATTTTTTTATGATTACAATAATTCCTGTCAATAGACGCGGTAAGTAAAGGCATCTGTCTTAAATCGTAAAACAAAAATAACATCTTTCATTTTATTCCAAAGAATATTAGATTTGAGCATTACATTCGAACAAATATCATCGCTGCATTACGGTATTCCCGGTCACGGCCGCTCGTGTGTAATACTTGACGGCGAACTGGGACATAGCAGACATAGGAAGATGAAAATCCAATCCTCTTGCAAAACAATTCTAATAAATGCCTAATACAGCGACGCCAATATTAAGGAGGACCTAAAAGCCACGATCTAGATACTGAATATCCGGCAGATGACCTATCCACTGTAGACTTGATTGAAAATACACGGGCTGAATATCCGCGCGACTGTGAGTACACCAAATCTGCGCGGCAAAGCCCGGAACTACGGTACCCAAATTTAACAAAAAACACGATTTGGGTGACAAAGGGGAGCCCCTCAGGCCGACTGGTGAAATTTGCGATAGGTCCTCCATATACGGAGGACCTAGCGCAACGGAGGACCTATCGACTCTAAAAAGCCATTGAGTGGAGGACCCTATATTCAATATTCATCGATTTCTAAATCCAATAAAAGTAAGACATAAACTGTGCCCTTGAAAGGCTACCTGCCCTTGAAGTTTCCTGTAATCTGGATCTGATTTAACATTTTTTGCAACGTAAATATTTTGACTAAGGAAAACGTAAGCTTTGCATTCAATCCATAATCTTTGTAGATTTCGAAATGCATCAAACGTAAGACAAACTGTGGTCTTGAACAGCTACCTGACCAACTCGTGCCAGATATATTCCAGCATGAACGTATAAAAATCATCTTGCTCTGTATCGTGGTCACGACATGAAACATGAAACCTCCAAACGCCTTCCTACAAGGTGTTTGAACGAAATATTTCTTTTAGAATACTGATTCTCCGAGTTTTTGTTCAGAGAACTACAACGCACATTCACCATTTTTTGCAAAGCAGTCGAACTTTATCCGCCTATTTCTCAGAAACTAATCATAGGATTGCTTTGGACCCTTTGGATACTTTTATTCGTGAAAGCAAGTAAATAATCCCCTGAGACCGGGGTTAGAGGCTTATAGCTGTACTGCCACCAAAAACTTGAGATTTACACAAATGAGTAGGAGTCGTCAGGAGACGTCAAAAAACGATGTTTGTGCGATTTGATTTTTTTGCCCCTAGCTCCGCCACCACTGGACCGATGGTCAGAATCGTCAACATTAGTGAGGGTCATGAGTACTAACATAACGCCAGAAAAACATTAAAATCGAACTTACGTAGCCCGCGAAAATTCAAAATTTGCGATACTTTTTAAACAAACCTCGTATCCTGAATTGTCTGTTATACATCAAAAAGAACGTCACTGCCTACACTACCCATGGTCAAATACATCTGTATGACACTCTAAACAAAAATAATATACAGGGTGATATCATCTACGTCTTCGTCTATGACGTGTTGAACTAGCGCGAAAAATAGTCTAATAAGACACACTTTGAAAGGTCCTACCTGGACTGTCCAGCACTAACGGTTCCACCGGTCTTGAAAAACGCCTGCATCTCAGTAACCAGGTTCCGTTCGTGATTCGGCGTCTCTGTGGTTGCTTTAGAAGCCGGTACTAGCCCTTTGTTATGCTGTTCGAAGAATTTTTGAGCCTGCACGGCTTCCGCCAAACCGGGGAACAGGTTTTCGTAGCTCTTGGGATCAGCGAGGCTCTGGCCAGCTTTTTCATTTACCTTGGATAGCTCAGCTCGCCATAGCTCCACAATTTCGGTTATCCTAGAATAGAAAGAGGCACAGCTTTTATAACTGCTCGACTGTTACAAGTCCAAGTGGTATATGCAATTAGTAAACATCCTCTCCAGAAACAAATACAGTGGACCCCCGGTAATCCGGCCTCTGTCTAATCCGGCGCCCCCTGTAATCCGACAAGTCCTTGTCAATCTTCGATAATGCAGATCACGCAGGGTTTGAACAGGTTACAACTTGTACGCGCCACCGTTATCGTGCTCGACGCGTAAGCATTGGTTTACTTAGTTTGAATTTGACTACTTTTATAGCGGTACGGTCTAGCGTGCGTTCATTGTTTACTATTTATTCATTGTATATTAAGTATAGTACCTAGTAATATCATCACAAACTCAGAAGCGAAAGCACAAAACATCGACAATTAAAGAAAAATGTGATATTTTAGACCGCTTAAATCGCAATGAAACTTTCGGTAGTTTAGCAAGTGAATACGGAGTAGGCCGATCTACAATTTATGACATTAAAAGAAACCACGAGAAGATCAAGAAGTTCGTGTCAACTACTGACTGCGGGCCAGGCAAGAGACAGACACTCAAGAAAGCTGAACATCCAGAATTGGAAGAAGCTTTGTACATGTGGTTTCTTCAGGAAAGAAATAGAACTGCACCAATTTCAGGACCCATGTTGGCCATGAAAGCTAAGTTTTTTTATAAGGAAATAACAAAAAAAGATAATTTTGTGGCCAGCAAAGGATGGCTAGAACGTTTTAAAAGTCGTCATGGCATACGTTTAATGACTATTACAGGAGAGAAACTTTCTAACGATGCCACCTGCACAGAGCCCTTTAAATTAAGATTTTTGCAAAAGGTAAACGATTTAAATCTTGACCCGTCACAGGTGTACAACGCAGACGAATCAGGGCTTTTTTTGGCGTGTGATGCCTAACAAAACTTTCGTTTCTGGTAACGAAAAATCCGTACCTGGACGAAAAGTAAGTAAAGAGCGTGTAACCATACTACCATGTGCTAACGTTGTGGGCACACACGTGCTTAAGATGATGGTCATTGGGAAATCTAATAAACGACGAGCATTCAAAAATATTGATTTACCTGTACACTATTACTTACGAAAAAGTGCATGGATGACAAAAGACCTTTTCAAAAAGTGGTTTGATGAATGCTTCGTACCTGAAGTTAGAAAATGGTTAAAAGATCATAATTTTCCTCAGAAAGCGTTGTTGCTTCTTGATAACGCTCCCGGTCATCCGTCTGAAGAAGAACTAACACCTGAGGATAAGTGCATCACTGCGATGTTTCTTCTGCCAAATTGCACTGCACTGATTCAACCAATGGACCAGAATATCATTCAGTTTGTCAAGCAAGACTATAAGAAAAACCTACTTCTGAGAGCCGTATCAAAAGACCAACCAATAGAAAAAACTTTAAAAGAATTTAATATGAAATACTTGGTTTTTGCTCTTTGTCAGTCGTGGAATGCGTTACCGTCATCAACTATTAAATCGTCTTGGAAAAAGTTATGGCCAGATATAGTCACCACTCCTAGCAACGTTCCACAAATCAGTGTTACTTCAGAAGTTATAGAACAAGTTGCTACTGAAACACAGATATGTCCGGAAGATTTGGAAATCTGGTGTCGTGGAATGGATAAAGAGGAAAATGTTTTTCATGAAATGCCTGACGAAGAGATTATAAAAGAGGTTTCTAATTATACAACAAACAATCAGGAAAATAACGACGACGTGATTGCAACTGCTCCACAAGTCACAGCACAAGACGCATTTAACGCCCTTGAGCTAGGTTTACAATGGGCTGAAGAGAATGGTACATCCTACAACGAACTTTTACTTTTGAGAAGACTGAGGGACAAAGCTCTGATCTCGCGTTATAACAACCTTAAACAAAAAAAAGTGATGAATATTTCCAAGCTTCATAACTTGATAAATTCATTAATGATTTCGATTAATAATTCTTGATTATTTTGGTACATATGTATGTGCATTTATGCTTAATTTCATAATAAAACGTAAGCTCTCTACTGTTATTTAATTTACTAAATTCGACACACATAAACTTTGTATGATTTGTACTTTAAAGTACATACATATACATAACATATATGTATACATAATCTTATCACTGGATATGTAATTTGTCGGATTACAAGGTACTCTTACTCCAGACTATAGCGGGTCTTAGGCAATGCTCTATAATCCGACAAATCCGATAGTCCGACACTGCCCTGCATAATGTTTGTCGGATTACCGGAGGTCCACTGTACAACAAAGCGGTCCGCAAAGCCAAAGACCAGCACGATGTAAATATTAGGCATAAGATAATGTCGAAGCGCAACGACAGTCAAGAAGATTGAAAGGAGCTTCACACAGAGTAGCCAGTTGTCAGGATGTAACAACTGTAACCGACTCAGATCTTTGTCGCTAACTCGACCATAGACAGCTGTCATTTCCCTACACTATGCAGACATAAGACCGTAAGACGCTTGTCGCTCGACAAAGCTTCTGGTTCGCCGTTGTATTAAAGAGATGTGCAGCGTAGCTTTCTCCTGTTCTTTCGCGTCTCTTCCAGACATGTTACGATTCCGGCACTTTCCCAGAAAATAGGAAAAAACCCATCCAAAAAAGGAAAGACCTACCCTTACAACTACAGCTCTTCTGGAGTACCTCGAACGTCACGGCTTGATTAGCGGTTTCCGGCACCAGCGATCTACAGGGACCTTCTAGCTTACGTGACGCAAGCGTGGAGTAAACTCATCCAGTCATATGGATGTCGTTGCTCTTAATATCACGAAAAGAGTTCGATCAGCTGTGGCATGCTGCCCTCTTAGGCAAACTTCCATCCTATGGCCTCCCAGAGAAGCTTTGCAGATGGGTGGCTGACTTCCTCTCTGGAGACGAGAGACCTGGAGGTTATCACTGCTTGGAAAAGTAGCAATCTGGTACAGATTAATGCTTCCAAAACAGAATAACTGTACCTTGAACAAGAAGCATCCTAGTGCTCATCCTGCTTCGATGGCTGGCCAAGTTCTACTAAAGTCTTGATCTGGCACGAACACAACTCGTCAATAGCGGCATCTGCTGGGAAAAAGCTAGGCTATTTGTTTAGCGCTAAGAAGTACTTTTCTTCACATGACCTCCCCACTCTGTACAAGGTCCAGATAAGACTATGCTCGATGCTGTTCAGAGAAGGGCTGTCCGACTGATCGATGACCCTTCTCTGACAGTCGCGCCTTCGACGATCTAGCTCTCTTCTACCGCTACGCCAAAGGAATTTGCTCCGAAAAGCTCTCCTTCATGATGCCGCCGCGAGATGTGCCTGCCAGACAGGGCCACCTGCCTAACCGTGACGAACTTCGTACATCCAGAACTGGCCGATACGACCGCTCCTTTGTCCTTAGGGTACTGAGATTGTGTAACAATCTACGTGAGGTTCTAGTAACCTTGGACAATTCAAAACTCGGACTAACAAAGTTTCTTTAAGCTCGCCATAGCAGCCGCATGGCAATTAGGTTTCTGCCTGCGCGGCTGTTTCGGTGTAAAAAAATAGAAATGCATACAAATTCAGTAAAACCCAAACCGCTGCATTGATAATTAAACAGCATAAACAAAAAACGCAAATAAAAGTAAAATAGCGATTGTAAAAATAATATATAAATAAAAGCGGTTTGTTACAACAACAAACTGAAGCTATTTCGCGTTCAAAATTTAATTTTACGGATTGTTGCGAAAACTTGTTTCATATACTAAATAACATAGAAAATGCAACACCGACTAGGAGTGCTGTAATTTTGAGCATACTTTTACAAGTTTTAGGTCTACTGATAAATAGAAAGTGTTTAAAATTTTAAATCGAAATTTCGCAAAATAGGTGAGATATCCAGGGTTGTTATGTTTTGATCAAAATGTTTAAAATAATGAACGTGTTTTAAACTGTTTAAAACATGTTTTAAACACTTTTTTATCGTTTGTGAATTATTCAAGTGTTTTTTATATTATTGTAAGTATGATTAAAATTGATTTTATTTTGCAAAACGAAACGAAAAGGGCGATAGGTTAAAACACATAGGTACTAAAAAATATACTTTATTCTTTATTAATTAATCAAACATGAAACTAGGGAACTATTAGTGAAAACAAATATGTTTCTTAACGAACGACTGAACTTGATAAACTGCATTGAACTTTAATACTAGTACACTACAAGGAGCAGAATACTCTTATAATGCTATGTATTTACTTGTAACGGGTGATTTTTTAAGAAGAAGAGGAAGAAGAGGAAAAAATTTGAAAAAACGATTAAATCTTTATTTGAGTCGATAGAACGGTCGATATAATTTAATGTTTAAAGTTTATTTCATATAAATGTTGGCCGCGGCTCCGCTTTAGATGGCCCATGCGCAAGGTCCAATTTTGGCACGCTCTCTCCAACATATCGGCCGGTATCTCACGAATAAATGCTTCAATATTGGCTTCCAGTGCGTCAATCGTTGCTGGTTTATCCCTGTAGACATTAGCCTTAACATGGCCCCACAAGAAATAGTCCAACGGCGTTAAATCACATGATCTAGGCGGCCAATTTACGGGCCCCAAACGTGAGATAAACTGTTCACCTCTCAATAGGGCCATTGTTTCGTGTGCGGTGTGGCATGTGGCACCGTCTTGTTGAAACCACATGTCAGCCAAATCCAGCTCTTCCATTTTGGGTAAAAAAAAGTTTGTTATCATCGCGCGGTAGCGCTCGCCATTCACAGTTACGTTCCGGCCATTGTCGTCTTTGAAGAAGTACGGCCCGATGATACCACCGGCCCATAATCCACACCAAACAGTGATTTTTTCGGGATGCATTGGTAGCTCTGGCAATGCTTCTGGCTGGTCTTCACTCCAGATGCGGCAATTTTGCTTGTTAACGTACCCATTCAACCAGAAATGAGCTTCGTCGCTGAACACAATTTTTCGATAAAAATGTGGATCTTCCTCCAACTTTGCCAGCGCCCATTCACCAAATTGGAAACGTTGTGGTAGGTCGTGTGACTTCAATTCTTGCACCAGCTGTATCTTATAAGGTTTTACACCCAAATCCTGTCGCAAAATTTTTCACGTAGTGGAGTAACAGAGGCCCAATTGCTGCGAACGGCGGCGAATCGACATTTCACGGTCATCACTAACACTGGCGGATACAGCAGCAATATTTTCTTCAGTCCTCACTCTACGTATCTACGTTGGTGGTTTAATGTTCAATAATGTAAACTGGGTTCGAAATTTAGTCACAAGCTTCCGAATAACTCCCTCAGTAGGCCGACCAAATTGCCCATAAATTGGAAGCAGTGCTCGATGCACTCTCTTAACTGAGCATGAATTTTGATAGTAAAATTCAATAATTTGCAAGCGTTGTTCGTTCGTAAGTCGATTCATGGTTCAATTATAGACTAAACTGAACAAGTTTGACAATGACACAAGACACGATTCACGCGTCATCTGTCAAAAACAGTGTTGTCAAAAAGAAACTAGCAAAAAAAGCACCCATTATAGTAACAGTAAATAAGGTACTTGAAAAATGTCTATCAAAGTATACAACCTATCTTATTTAACAAAAAATCCTTATATCCATATTTTTTAAATATAAAATCATGGAAAATGTACATAGAATAAAATTTTAGTTTTCACTACTTTTTACGGAATTCCAAGTAAAAAATGTACCTTTTTCACAAATCTCCAAGCTACTTAACTTTGAGGAAATAGGTTCGGTAGAAACATCATCATTGTCGGTATCAGAACTATCTGATATATATGAATATTTTGTTTTTCTAACAAACTTCCTTGTTTACGTTGTTTACAATTTTTAACATGCTTGCGCATTGGAGCCACCAGTGGCACTATATCCATATTGCAGGTTAAACCTTTTACTTATTGTCGAGCCAGCTTTGGCATCAGTCTCCTTAAAATATTTCCACGCGGGATCCGTTCTACTCCCTGTCATGCCTTTCTTTTTTTGCCGATCTTTAATGCACAAAAAACAAAACACACCACCACGCCACGACTTCGCACATTTGACTGCTGGGGATCGCAACGCGAAAAATTACCCAAGGCAAACGGTACTTTCCCGACGTCCGCTTTTAAATAGTAGATGTGCTCTGATAGAGCTGGATCAAAAATAGTAATGACACTTTCAAGGAACTTCAATCTAGCAATCAAGATTTTTGCAGAATTAGACTTACCTATCTGGTAAGTAGGACCTTGCGAAAAACGCCGCCTCCGGTAACCTCCCGGTATTCACGAGAATCTCCAGGCACTTATTCAAGTCTCCCACCAAAAAGTACGACAGGAAGGATAGATTGTGTTTTCCTTCCGTTTCTGTGGTTTCTCCCAACGTTCGAACCAGCGATTCATCCCCAGAGCTTGTGGCTAACAACAACAGACCTCCGTAATCTTGGGCTTTCTGCATACATTCTTTTGCTAACTGCAAATTGTTCGTCGAAGCGGCCAACTCGCCCAGCTGACTCCATTTGTGAGGATTGTTTGCCTCCTGAAATATGATAATGTCAAGATAATATTGTTTGTTAATATTCTCTTCATTAGTATTGGCAAAGCACAATCTCCACTTAAATAATAAAGGGTTGTCCAATAGGGACGCAGGAAAGTAAACGTCAATTTGACATAGACACCCATCTTTGTTTTCTGTCACCGACATGTCATTTTGTTAGTTGAATGTTTATCATTGATCGCTATGGAGTCGTATTCGATTGAAGACCGCATTAAAGTTATTCAAGAGCACTACAAAAATGGTGCAAACATAAAAAACACGTTTCGCGCGCTTCGTGAACATTTCGGTCGCAACAACCGCCCAAACGAAACAACCATCGGTCGTCTGGTGCGTAAATTCGAGGCAACAGGTTCTGTGGCAAATCTGCCAGGCTCTGGCCGGCCAAGGAGCGTTCGCACACCGGAAAATATTGCTGTTGTGAAGGAGAGTGTGAGAGACGATCCGAAACAATCAACAACGCGTCGATCCCAAAAATTGGGCATTTCGAGAACCAGTTTGCTCCGCATTCTCCACAAGGATTTGAATGTACACGCCTACAAGATCCAATTGACGCAAGAGCTGCGTCGGGCCGACCATTTTTCGCGCCGAACGTTCTCACATTGGCTCCTTGAACACCGCCAAATTGATGCCAATTTTTCATCAAAAATCATGTTCAGCGACGAAGCGCATTTCACTTTGAATGGGACGGTAAACAAGCAAAACTGCCGCATCTGGGCGAACGAAAATCCCCGTGAGTATCAAGAGCAGCCGATGCATCCTCAAAAAGTGACTGTGTGGTGTACATTGTGGTCAAAAGGCATCGTCGGACCTTACTTTTTCGAAATTGCGGCCAGGGACGCCGTTACCGTCAATTCTGAGCGATATCACGTGATGATAGAGGACTATTTTTTGCCGCAACTTGAAGGAATGGTTATGGACGCTGTTTATTTCCAACAAGACGGTGCAACATGCCACACAACCAACGTCAATATCCATCGATTGCAGTCCTTCTTCGGTGATCGCGTGATTTCGCGCAGAGGACATGTGCCATGGCCACCAAGATCGTGCGATTTGACTCCCTTGGACTTCTTTTTATGGGGATATTTGAAGCAAAGTCTACGTCAACAAACCAGCCACCCTCCAAGAACTCAAAAATAACATCATTGCCGAGATAAATGCCATAGAACCGACCATGTTGCAAAATGTCATTGAAAATTTCGACCATCGCGTGGACGTCTGTGAATCCAGTCGTGGTGAATATTTGAGCGATATTATTTTTCATACATAAATGGTATAAATGAACCTTCAAAATAAAGTACCCAACTTGATTTGAATATCAATCTTTCTTGTTTTAATATGCGATGACTTTCCTGCATCCGTTTTGGACAACCCCATATTTTGCGATAATTATCAAAATACGCTTAAACATGACTTTGGCCTATTATGTATCGAAGAAAGAAACTAAACCTAAACAGTGATCATCGCGTGATTATTGCGTGATCAACACACTGATATATTTCAAGAGAAAATAGGTCGAGCCCTTACACAGAACCAATGACAAACCAGAGGGTGGAGTGGGAGACGATACGACCGTGCATGCATTCTGTCCCGGTGGCTGGCCGTACAGTACAGATTTATACTGGTGCTAATTAGATTTGTTAGTTTAATTTCGTAGAACTCAAAATGTCTGATACGGATACAGCTGATGAAGTTGTTGATATAAAAGAGCTAAAAGGCTTCATTTTAGCGTTAGCGCAAAACAAATAATTATCAACATTCATGAATACGAAATGCAAGGAAGGAGTGACTCAAGTGTTCAGGACATTGTTTGCAAAGCTGACACCTACATACTTTCAATACTTGTAAGACGAGGAATTTCAACTAAAATTATATTTTATTTTTGTTTTTGTACATGCTTAAACCATATCGAGATAAGAAATCAAGCAATAGTTTTGTTGGATTTTTAATGCTTTCAATGGGAGCGGTTTTAAAGTGTCCAAAATGAATTATTTTTAGGAAAAGGTAAGCGATTGATAATTTGCCACATAGGTAATGAAGATGGATTTGTGTCTGATGCTTTATGGGCATTTGAATTCAAAAAAACGAGATACTACCATGAAGAAATGGATGTAGCCTCGTTCGAAAATTGGTTCTGAAATACTCTACCGAAGCTTGAAGACAATTCGGTTATAGTATTAGATAATGCTTCATTCCACACGAGAACAACGACAACAAAAAAAACAGAAATTCAAGGATGGCTTAAAAATAAAAAGAGTGATTATGATGATACAACGGTTAAGGCAGAATTGTTACAAATTGTCAAGACGCATAAAAATAAATATAACCTGAACATAATTGATGAAATGACCAAAAAACAAAATAAAACTGTTTTACGACTGCCTCCTTACCATTGTGAGCTCAATCCGATTGAGCTCATTTGGGCAGACATAAAAAATATGTTGCAGCAGAAAATAAATGTTTTAAATTTTCTGACCTTAAAAATATTTTTAATAATGCTATACAAAGAATAACACCGAATACGTGGGAGAATGTATCAGCATGTAAAAGAAAAGGTCAAACCTAATATGTGGGAATTAGACGGCATCATCATAAATCTTGATGACAGTGGGAGTTCCACGGCCTCAGATCTAGAATGATTTTCAAATATATGTATTTCCGGTTTTAGAGGTAAAATGTGTGTACAATAAATTTTTGTATAAAATTTAGTATATATTATTTTGTATTCAAATCCTTTTTGTTTCAACTCCACCTATCTATACATTTTGTAGTCTAATATTTAAATTAACTGTTTGCACACTGACGTCCCTGTTCAAGCGGTGGTTAGGTATACTTGTATGCATATGCAATTATCGTTTTAATCTATCAAGACATTTTTTAAAAGCCTGCTTTATAAATGTGCCTTTTCGACTATAATTTCTTGATAAAACATTTTTACTAAAAACAACAATAGACAGTTGTTTTCTTTTTGGTCATGACAGTTAAATAAAAAATAATACATTAATTCTAAGCTTTATGCCTGCAATAATTTTGCATACTTTTTGATAGTGGCGTAGAACCACAAATCATTTATTCTTAGTACGGCCCTGCAACGTGCTCGGCGTACTGGAGTGCGATCACGTGGAGTATACGTGAATATGTTTAGGTTTGGTCTCTTTCTTCGATGGATCGATAATAGATTATATCCGCGAAAATATAGTTAATATGAGATAGAAGACTTCGTAGAGCTATAGCCTGAAACTCTGCCCCAAACAACCCTCGCTGGAGATGTCCCAGCCAAATACTTAAACAAGAAATTTTGAGATTATTATTACCTGTGCTAACTGACGCGCAGTGTCCAGATCCTCCAACGCAACAGCCAGTTCAAACTTATGTTCAGGATCGGTACTAACGGCCAACGCCTGTTGTTTGAACCCTTGCTTTTCCAAGAAATGAGCGACTCGGGTTCTATGTTCTTTTGGTATAGATGGCAATACTCTATCGGCAGTGGCGAAATCTCTTCGCATAACAGCTGTTTGATACTCCAAAACGCTGAGAAGCAGTTGGTAGCTAACTACATTCAATTCTTTGTCGATGAGATACAGTCGATCGTCGCGTGGTACGTACCCTGAAAACGAATAAAAATCATGCACACCTTCGTCGTTTCAAGTCGCTCGTCATTTGTACTTGCTTTCGGTGCGCTCGATAATTCCGTTTGTCTCACACTTAGCGTTCTTGAAAATCACTTGTCGACTTTAAAACGACCACTAAGTGGTTGGTGCTTGCTTATCCCTGTCTGAATTTTTATTTATATCTAGGGTGTTGTGTGTTATTGATAGGATGTTGTGGTAGTTTTTGATTTAATTTAGAGTACCTAGTGGCATACCAGTTAATTTAATAATTTAGTAATTCGAGACCGATGATTCCACTTTTAACAGTGTCTAATCGCACGTTATTATTAATCAAGGAACAGAAAGTAACAATAATGAACTTCTTGTACTTGCAAGACTAACGAAAAATGTATATCACATTAATGAAACACTGATGCTTTCATTATAAGGTAATTGATTCTCTAATGAAGAACATAATTTTGAAAATATGTCTAAGCGGTGCCTATCAAAATTTGTTAAAAAATATTGCTTAACTTAAAAAAGATTCTGAATGATTGTTTCAATATAGTTGGAGAGAAATTATTATTATTGGTGAATCATTGTTTAGTACATGGTGAATTCCCATCAAAATTAAAGTGTTCCACCATTACTCCTGTACCAAAAGTTCAACTTCTGAGATGTATACAAATATGTGACCAATCAATGTCTTGCCAGATGTCGAGAAGCTGTTCGAATGGATAATATACTGGGTGCGCCATCTATTACTTTTTTTTACCTATAAGTTTATGTGTTACCATGTGAGTCAAAAGTCATGTGGTATGCATAAACGAATTGTCAAATGTATGCCATTTATAGTCATGGATTCGTTTACAACACAACAACGCATTTTGATTATCCAAACTTATTACGAAAATGGTCGAAATATAAAAAATACTTTTCGCATCCTTCGCACTAGTTTTTGAGGAAACTGGTTCAGATGAAGCTCGTAGACCATACCAACTTCCATTCCAGCTCGTACTCGTGAAAACATAGCCGCAGTGAGTGAAAGTGTGCGAGAAGATCCAACCATCTCGACTAGGCACCGTTCGCAACAATTGGGAATTAGTGAGACCACTTTACGCCGGATTTTATACATTGATTTACAACTCCATCCATACAAAATCCAACTAACACAAGAATTGAAGGCGGCAGACCATCAACAGCGGCGTGTTTTTGTTAATTGGATGCTGGAAAGAGAAGACGGATTTTCGGCCAAAGTGGTATTTTCTGATGAGGCTCATTTTCACCTCAAGGGGTACGTAAATAAGCAAAATTGCAGATTCTGGGGGGCTGAAAATCCACACCAATATCATGAACAACCTCTCCATCCTGAAAAAGTGACTGTTTGGTGCGGATTATGGGCTGGTGGCATCGTTTCATCAAGATGGAGCAACGGCTCATACATCTCGCCAAACATTCGCCTTATTGCAGACGAAATTTCCACACCGCATAATTTCACGAAATTCAGATGTCAGTTGGCCCCCGAGATCGTACGATTTAACACCTCTTGACTATTTTCTTTGGGGATTTTTGAAAGGAAAACTGTATGCGTATGGTCCCCGGACAATTCAAGACCTAAAGCGCAATATTCGGACTGAAAATTGCGGCCATATTCTGGGAAAAGTCATTGAAAATTTTGATGTTCGGATGTTGGCCTGTAAACGAAGCCGCGGTGGTCACATGACTGATCTTATTTTTATACATAAATGACATAAACCAGCCTTCGTTTATCAATAAAAAAATTCGATTTCACCTCGTAAAAAGCGTGTTGATTTTTCAAATAGAAAAAAAAGTAACAGATGACGCACCCTGTACGAACAAATTATTGAATTCATTGAATAAAACAAAATTTTGACAAAAAATCAAGCTGGATTTGGAAAAAATATTCTATTTTTGGACTTCAAAATGACATTTGAGACTATAGATAGGGAAAAAATGTTAATGAAATTGCATCACTATGATTTTAAGGGATCAGTATTAAACATTGTACAAAATTATTTAGTAAATAGAAGTCAAAAAACTAAAGTTGGAAATATTATGTCAAGTGTTCAAAATATATCAGTAGGGGTGCCACAGGAGAGTAAATTACGGCCGTTACTATTTATTATTTATATAAATGATATCTCTAACATTTTAGAACACTGCAAGCTTCAAATATTTGCGGACAATACATTGATATATATAGCACATAAGCATTTGGACCCTGCTTTAGAATTGTTAATTAGGCTCATAATTAATGAAAAATTGAAGTCGAATCATTTAAATATCTGGGTATATTATGTGGATAGTAAACTATTGCTTCACGAGCATTATGAATACATTATTTCAAAAATAGCAAAAAAGATAAATTACTTCTATAGTTTTCTATAATCTTAGTATGTATTCCAAAAAAATTGTGAATAACACTGTAATTCATCCACATTTTTTATATTGTTCAGCCATGTTGTTTACAGCAAATGAAAGCATATTTTCAAAATTACAAATTCTACAAAATAAAGCTATGAGAATCATTTTAAATAAAAACAAATATGCTAGGATTAAGTCTATTTTAGAAGAACTACAGTGGTAAGTTTCCTGATGACAAGTTGGAAACTACATGCTTGGTCGTTTAAAGACAGAATTGTCTGTTATTTATGTACGGAATGATTGCCGAGATTTACATGGAACTCTGTCTCTTTTGAAATTTTCGATACAAAGCACTAAAGGAAACAAAAAAGCTATTAGAAATTATTGTTACAACTCCTATGTCAACATCAGAGGCTGAGCGAAATTTCTCAACATTGAAAAGAATCAAGACTTTTCTTCGTAATACTATGACCCAGGATCGCCTTACGGCGTTGTCGATGCTGTCCATTGAAACTGAATTTATTTCGACCATGGAAAATTTCGATCGACAAATTTGCTGCCAAGTAGGAGCGCAGGATCGAACTGACAAATAAAAAATAGGTAAGTTCGGATTTGCAGAACACCTGTATTATTTTGCCACGAGCCGCTACTGACTTGGTACAAGAGTACCTTTGATGTGCGCTAATAAAAATAATTTCAATTCACAGCCTCACGGTTTGTTCGCCCGGATTACAAGCATGAATCGTTGGACCTCTGATACTACATTATACTGAATTACTCACCAAGTAAGTATAATGGCCTGTCAAGATGTGCAATGGTCACCAACTCTCCTCCCACAAAGTAGTTGATCCTATTGACAGCATTGGTGTATATGAAACAATCTCCAACCCACAGTCCCGTCTTGACACTCTCGTTCACCTCGCCCAAAACAGAGAAAGCGGCTTCTACTCCATCTTCAGCCACTTGGTTGGCCTCTTTCGCTTTGGCCACTTGATCAGCGTCATATGAGAGAATGAAGTAGCTATCTTCAGTGGCGAGACAGACCAGCCGACCTGTATCTGACCAGTAGATGGCGCGCGGCTGAATCTCGATGCGACGTACCAGGTCCAATGAGTCCCAGTCGTAGAATGTCAAACCTGAAATAAATATAAAAGTATTTTGAGTTGTGAATGATCCCCTTGGAGGCATATTCCAGGCATTTTTCACAAATTCACGCATGTAGAACGCACAAGCAGCCACTAAAATGCTACAGGTGAAAATTGGTGGACCCATTTTATGCGTCCACGTTTTGAATACCTTGAATCAATAAAACCAGGCTTTACAATGATTTCGGGGAAATTTGATGATATGATTAGACTATCAAGCAAACAAGTAAAAATGTGTGTTACAGTACTTTGTTTGTGATCTTGCGGTATTTCCATCAGTAATTGATATATCTGTTGGTGGACTATAAATAAATAAATAAATGCTGTTTCCTCACCTGACACCGACTTGGCACCCAGCAGGAACCCCCCGAAAATCCCGTCCGCTCCAAAATCCGACTTGAAGCTTTTCTTCTCCTTGAAGTTCTTGAAGATCCTGATGGTCGAGCCAGTCTCCCTGATCGCGTACTCGCTAGAATCGTGCGACCATACGAACTCCTGCGCGCTTCCAAACGCTTTGTTTCTCAGCGCCATCGCAGTGTAGATGATGTATTCACCATCGCCACATACCACGACAAATCTGCCATTTGGATTATGCTGGATGGTCTGAGGATAGATCTCGCAAGAGCCGAGGTCTTTTACGGCTACGGGAAGGCGTTCGCCGTCTCTGATCTCTGCACCTGAAGAACAGTGTCGGATTGTAAAAAAATGGCATCAAATAGGTGCAACTCCCACGCAACTCCGTTCAGTCATGATAATCAAGTTCAGCCCAATTTGAATCCTATGAGAAAAAGACAGCTATGAACATGTACAACAGAGAAGTTAAATGGATTCAGTCAGTCAAACAGGCCCAAACAATTAGTCGATAGAACATTTCCTCCCTGCCCAGCGGTAATTACTGTCCATCTAGCAACGTTATCCCTTTCCACATTTGCGCGAAATAGTTTCAGCGAGTTATCGTTCTTTTAGTGTATGGCTCATGTATGTTTTTTTCGCTGCAGTACGGATAGTCTAGTCGGCCAGAACGGTTCGCCGAGTGATGAGCTTAGATAGCAGGAGTACGCGGATCATAATTTTAAGTTTTAAAGGCAAATGTAGGGAGAAATCAATGTGTGAAATATGGCTAATAGCCCCTACCCACCCCCTACAACCTCCAATCCTCTAATTACAATCCACGAAAAAATTTTATGAAAATGATCAGGACCCTCTGAAATGTCAAAACACGAAGTTTGAGCGATTTCTATTTTTTCGTTTTTTGCTTTTTTCAAAAACTACAAATCTTTTTTGTCCTTGGCATAGTTGCAGCGTTGTGTAAAAAGTTTCATCAAAACCCAACCGGCACTTCCCAACATTTCGTGATATACATGTCATATATCTCATTTTTAATTTTTCGCGATTACAATACTTCCTCGCCCATGCTGGGTATATGGCGAGTTTCAATTTGATGATAATAGAAAATAGAAACAACTGCCAATGCGGTTCTAGCGCATGCCTATTTCATAGTTCAGTACTCTAGAAGCATATTTTACACAAACTTGCGAAAAACATGGCATGGCTATAGCTGGAAGTACTGAGAACAAAGGATAAACTAAGGACTATAAAAGTTTTGCAATATTACTTAACAAACGGACGCAGAAAGCTGCATGTTACTGCATGTTGAGACATGTCCATGAGTGCAAAGTAGCCGCCAGCAGCAGTCTGTTGATTTAGTTGTTCATTCGTATTGACAATGTAAAGTACGGACTATGGCATCGTGGTCACGTAATGAGATAAGGGCAGTTTTATGGTATAACTTTACGCGTGGTTTAAGCATAGACCAGTGTTTAGAAGAAATGACGCTTGCATTAAAGAATGATTATCCTCATCGTACGACTATATTCAGTTTGTGCAAAGGATTCAAAGCGGGCAATTTCACTCTGGAGGACGCTGAGAGGGAAGAAAGGCCGCGAACGTCAGTAACAGAGTAAAACATTACTGCTGTGAGCAAAATGTTTGACGAAGACCGGAGGGCGACATACCAACAGATAGAGGAGACTTTACACTTTCATGCACCAACAACTCATTCAATTCTGCATGATCATTTACACGTAAAGAAACTTTGTTCTCTCTGGGTACCGCATAGTCTGACGGAAGAGCAGAAGATGCTGAAAATGTTTGATAAGGGGCAATCTCGGTATGTGAACAGCATCGTGACAGGTGAAGAGACTTGGCTCTATTATTACGATGTGCCGACCAAGGCTCAAAACAAAGTTTGAGTCTTTGACGATGAGTACACACCCGATTTGTTAAGAAAAAAACTATAGCTGTATTTTTCAAATCGAGCTAGATTGTGGAGAGTGTCGTTTTTGACACACAGAAGACAGTCACAGCTAAGTGGTACACGAAACTGTGCCTGCCTGAGGTCATAGAGTCTATGAAAAACCTGAGGCCAAAGTCTGCTGGACTGAAGCTTATTGAGCATCCGCCTAACAGTCCAGATCTTGCTCCCTGTGACTTTGCACTGGGTCCGCATGTGAAAATGAAGCTAAAACGAAAACGGTTTTCTAGCGATGAGGAACGAGTGTGCCGCACTCCCGGGTGAAACTTGGCAGAGCTGGTTTTGGCGGATGAAGAAGTATATTGAATGTGGCGGAAATTAATTTGAATGAAGTCAATAATAAAGCTGTATTGCAAAACTTTTATAGTACCTTTTGTATAATATTCTTCTTTTGTTTGTATATTGAAAAATATGTTCGGAAATCTGTATTTATGTACGCTGGGCAAATTTAGTATAGAACTAACATTTTACAATACTTATCTCAATTTTTTTTGTTTGTTTTTGTGGTTTAGTGGTTGTGTAATTACGTGTCATGTACAAAAGCGAACAAATTTGGACATATTTTGATGAAAAATTGATACAATATCCGAACCGCCCCCACACAATTTTGTCTTTTTCCAACTATAATTTACGCATAATGCAGCGCTATTTTATAGTCAGCTGGAAAATGGTTTAAAATCGATGTCTTTACCAAGTTTCTGAGAGCATACCAATAACAAGGTGCTCACTATTGGCTAAACAAGTATTTTACTTAATACAGGTGTAATAGAACATATATGTATTCCTTTTCATTTCATTTAGTGCAGGTTTGACTATCATGTTCCAAGTATAGAGATAGACAAACAAAAACCGAATATAAAATTGCTTCATTTACCTTCTGGCAATGCTTTAAGATTGGCCTGCTGCAATTCACAATGCCTGGCCCAGATTATTTTTCCGCCACTGGCATCCATACTAACAGCTGGTTCCTCCCTGCCTACTTTCACTAAAATACTGCCTTCGTCATAGCCCAAGGCCACATTGTTCGAACCTTTTAAACAACAAATAGTCCAAACTCTTTCAAAACCATAGTTCAGACTGCTTTCAAGCCTATGGGTGTTGGTATGCCATACTCTAACTGTTCCGTCTTCACTACCTGAAAAAAATAGTATTTATCATTATCAATCCGTTCCGAAAGACAAAAGTTATTTTTATGCGAAAAACAAAGGTTACGTTTTTTTCTTCTAGTTCTTATTTAGAAGCATGAATTTGAAGAATTTCAAATATCTGCGAGAAACCATCGTCGAATTACCAACAAGTGAAAAAACCTGCAGTTTGCTTCCGTTTTCAGCCATAACCTTTTTGCTATAAGTCGGATCTTTTTACATGTGGTCTCATTTTGTAGGTCTCATAAATACCTAAAAATCTTATATGCAGTTTTTACATTCCTGCCAATACTTTCGATTGAATCCCAAAAAACACGTTTTCTCATTCTATGTTGTCGAATAAAAAGTTTTCCCACAAAAATTGGTGTACCCATTTTGTGCATCCATGTTTTCAATACCCCCTTGAACAACTTGCAGCAATAATGTCAGACTTTACAATTATTTCGCAAACCAGGGGTATTTTCGTCTAATATGATTAGACTAATTGCCAAACTCCAGGTATTCCAGAAAAACAGAACTTCCTAGGTAGGTCTTAAAATTATCATAGTCATTTGTTTCCTATTTTACATCAGACCTCAAATTGAACATAGTGACAGAGTCTGGAAGACTGAGAAGAAGGGAAATAAATTGAACAGTGAACAATGTGCAGAGAAGAGTCAGACTTTGACTACAAAATAATGGACAACATTTTGAACATCTGCTATGATTTACCTCTGCTTATTCATGATTATTATTATTATTACCATCAATAAAAAATTCATTTTGTGTTCAGGTTTCACCATATCCATGTTTCTTTATAAAAGGTCCGTTAAGGACTTGACAAGTGTCTTTTTAAATAAAACGCAAACCATTTGAGATACCTCGAAAATTTTATATTTTTTACTAGACTATGAACTGCTTGTCTACTGGGACGAGTATTACGACCAAAAATGTTCGTTAACGCTCTCATAGTTGCAGTCATCGACTCGGAATTTCGATAGAAAATTTTAATTATTCGTAAGCGTTGTTACATAACATGTAACAATACTACTGAAAAGTGTAAATCAAACTACACAGTAGTAGAGCAACCAGTGCCATATAGGTGGCATTTCTACAGCCTCAACATGTTGGAAAAACTTCTAAAAAGATATGATTTGAACCATTTTACCTGTCAAAGCAACTGGTAGCTCAGTATGAAAACAAACTGCTGTAACATTTTGAGCATGCCCTTCCAAAGTCTGCACACAAGTCTTATTTTGATAATCCCAAATCTTGACCAGCCTATCATCAGCTCCTGATATTAAGTATGGCTTATCTCCACCATGGTAATAATCAACACAATTAACTCCCTTCTCATGACCTACAAATAAAAAATAAAGTTCAACAGTATTCTAATTATAAGCACTTCTAAATATTAATATTTTTCACAACTACCTATATATATACTTCACTTCCATTTCATGTTATTGACATATCAATTGGTATTGTCACACTGATATTACATATGATCTGAACCATATTATTTTGACTAATCACTTCCACATTCATAATATTTAAATTAACATTACCTTCTAATGTAAAGTTGGCTGTAGGTGCTCCCAACTGCCACACCTTCAAAGTACGATCTAAGGATGCACTAGCAAAGGTATTATTATCCTTAGGATTGATTGCTATTTGCATTATGTAGTGAGTATGACCCTCAAACACCTGCTGACATGCCCAAGCTTTCTCCCAGTTCCATAACTTGATTAGCATATCATCTATAACAAAAAATTTCAAACTTACTTTGTGTACTGCTCACTTTGAGAATCAATGATTTTCTATCGCCCCCCGAAATTGTTCAGGAGTAGTCATACCTGCACCAGCACTTCAGAGAATGAATGCCCTTTTGATACTTAATTGAATAGTGGGGAACAGACTAACCCACTTCCTCCCAAAATCAATTCATCACTCACCAATTTCCTTTAGCTTCTTTACTGCCCCCCAACACCACCCCCTCCCCCATAGGTCCACATCACCCACAAGCATTCTAAATTATAAAACCATGTTGTTCATAACCAATGTGGGCATAATGTAGTATCAACAAAAGCTACTTGAAAAACTTTTGTAAGCACTGTTGCTACCCAAACAACTTTAGCTGTATTGTGAATTTATAAAATGTGTTCTGCATCATCATTATGTTATCAGATTTCATTTGTTTTGTATATCAAACCTGACCTTAAATTGAACATAGAAACAGAGTTTGAAAGACTGAGAAGAAGACAAGTAAATCGAGCAGTGAACAATGTACATAGAAGAGTCAGGCTTTACTTACAAAATAACATTTTAAACATCTGCTATGATTTACCTTGTTTATGAGTGTTATTGTTATTGCCATCATAAAATTTTTGGTGTGTTCAGGTTTCACTACACCTTTTGCTTTCTTTATATTTTACATCAAACAACACATTCATGACTAACTAAGGAAAGACATCTCAGAATTTAGAACTCAAAAGTCCATTTTTAAATAGACAAAATTCTAATATAGCATCCATACAAAAAAACAAAGATTGGTAATGGAAGACAAAAGAAGAAATGTCAATATGAAAATTTATTTTAAGATACTATCTCAAGTAAAGCCAGGAAAAAATAAATGTGATCTTGGGATAAATCTGTTATGTTAACAAATGACTATCTGACATTTTTGGGAAGTGGCAATGTTAACGCAAATCTGAAACATCCAGTATATAAATATTAATGTCAGTACAGTCTGTTAGCATCATGTCTGAACCACAATACAGAGGCATGTAAAAATTTGCACTCTTAGTAAATGCAACTCCAGAGAAGTTATGGCATGGTTTTATCCACGAAAATTTACAGGGTGTTAAAAAAGTATGGATAGATCAAAATCTCTGAAAGAATCATCAAGTGCTTTCAATGTGACCAAAAAAATCAACTATTCTAGGTAAAGACACACATTTTTACTTATAAAGCTCATTTTGTATGGATGTAAAATACTTCAAACCTCAAATGTCTTCTTAGATTTTGAATAAAACCTGGGCTACTCACCACTACTTGTTAAAATGAAAGGTTGTGTTGGATGTACGATGATACATCTCACATAATCAGAATGTGCCTCGAATGAGTGTACCCTCTCTAAAGTATTGTAATTAAACACTCTGATCTGCATATCGTCTGATCCACTTATAATCCAATTCTTTCTGGGTACAAACTTGACAGCTCTGACTGGAGCTTCGCACACCTCAAAGGTCTTAACCAGTTGCTGATTCTCATAGTTCCATACATTGATATTTCCACTGTATAAGGAACATAACATCCAAGGTTCTGTTGGATGTAGATCTACACATTTGACTCGGTCTGAACGAGCAGTTAGTTTTCTTTTTATATCGAGTCGCAGTGGCTGAAACAGGGCAATATTTTAGTGTTGTTGTTTGCTGTTAAATTCGATTTCTGAGACTCCTATAATTAACAGTACTATTGCTCAGTTTTAAGTTACGCATGACTTACCATTTTTGTGCCTTATGGTCGTGTAAATCAATTCCTATCTCAAAATTACTCCGAGTTTATTAAACACATCAGCAAATGTTTGAATGATTTTTGACAATTAAACATAACCCAAATCTACTTACGTGGATCATGAAATTGCCAACAAAGAGTTACGAAAGTCCCTAGTTCAAACTGACAATTGTTATAAATATACTAGTGATGGGACATATATGGAATCATCGGGACAATCCGTGGTTGTCCATGGCCACATCCATGATTCCTGAACATATTCTGATTTTCATACATCATACCTTAAATTAATTCTAAAAATCATTTAACTATGAATGGTCTTACGTATTTGATAGCCATTAACGATATCGATAGTTTTCAACAATAAGAATCTTGGTTCATTTCTATGCGAATAGATTCTATCTGTGCGTGACCAACTGACCACCGCTGCAATGTTGGTTGCTTGAGTCCTCCAAATGTAGGAATATATTACTCGTTACTCATAGATACTCGAGGTAACGAGTATCAATGAGAGCAAGAAATGATTACTTTGATTAAGGTTGATTCTCACTATACATTCCGTTTCCATTCCGTAAATTATTGAAATTAAATATTCGCCATCGCTTAAAGCAGGCTATTGCGTTTGTATGCACATTATCCGTAAGGTATTCTGTGTATACAATCAAATTGTACGGAACGTTTACCAAACTGATATGGAATGGAAACGGAATGTATAGTGAGAATCAACCTTTACTATGTTTTCCGTATCCGTACCCGTTTCGCGTACAATCCTTGAGTGGCAACGCTGGCTTCGGGTATTCGACCATCACTGTTTGTAGTACTATGCATCGGGGTTGCCAGACATCCCACATTCAGGTGGAAACTTGGAAGCTCCAGATTTAACAACAATTATTATCAAATTATGTGTCCCCCAATCATAAAAAAATAAGTGTACCTATTTACACCGCGACTCAAATTCGCTCGTATTGTTGTGATCTTGAAAACCTAAAAAGGAATAAGGAGTCGATTGGATTGGAGCAAAATTCTGCAGTATGATACTGCAACCATTCTTGTAATTCGTTTTTTGTGTCACTATAAATGACCTATAAAAAATCTTCAGCTCTGGGGGGCTTGTTTTCTAGGTAAATCTGGTGCTTATTATATTCTGAATTCGATGTCAAATCAGTTCTAGGATTCACTGCCAATTTTTCAGCCCAAATCGAGTCCGATGGCACTTTAGAATTTTTCACTACGGTACTTATATATATTCACAAGTCGTGTCCAAAAACTAAACAACATACACAGGACCGCTTTTTAAGAGGGGTCCTCTATGTAACATGTTTCCTCGACGGCTTCATTAAAAGATACGGGGTGTTGAAGTTTAAAAATAAAAAACATTTTTTATAATATATTCAAAACCGTCAACTGGAGTGAATTAAAATTTAGTACGTGGATTTACTTTAAGTATTGTCCACATTTAAAAGTCTTTAATTAAAGTTAACGTACACCAGTGGCGGAGATACAGGGGATTAGTGGCATTATTTTTCCAAAATAAAATTAGTATTTTTTTTCGAAACGCGTAGTTTTTTAATTTTATCTTCAATTTGCTACAAATCATAAATTACTCTTGTTTTTTTTCCTAGAGTTCACTGTTTCCTGTATATGATGTTTCATTTTTGGTCACAACTTGTAAATAACCATGTATTCAACGCCCCAAGCACCAAATTATCTTGTTATACAAAGCTTCGATAGCCATCGATAAGAAAAGTCGATTTTTAGCACCCAAAAGTTGCAAAAACGCATAGTCTTGCAATTTTTCGCTAAATAATTAGATCTACATGTTTAGCAGGATTAGATACATATGAAAGTGACGACACCCTTACAAACAGGGCTTTAATAGGATAGATTATTTTTTGCCTACTTATATTATAGAAAAAAAACAAAGATTTACTATATAAATATATTTAATATCTATGTGATCTAAAATAACATGATCATTAATAAGAGAACTATAATTTTCAGTTTCTTTACTATTTATTAGGGGAATATGGTTTTCTGGTGACTGCATTCGCACTTGGGCGAGGGAAACCCCTAGAAAACCTCAACCGCCACTGCTCAGATTAATTGTATCAGGTGAAGAACAATCATGTCGTTCCACAATTCTGGGTTCATTTGTACAATCGAAGATCTATAATCCACCAGCATGCCGCAGTTATTAACCTAAAAAAAAAAGTGGCATTGAAGTAACGGTTTCTACAAGGGTACAATTTTGTAAGTAAGAACCGTTTTGTATCTGAGTCAAAGAAATTTTATTTATGAATGTAAATTGTATCACAAACTAAAATATGAACATTTTTTCATTTTTTAACACAAGCATTCATAAGTCAAGTCGTGGTACCAGTTTTTGGTTAATGTAGCAACTGAAACTTTTATCTTGTAGTTTTTATGTCGAATATTTCCATCGTCTTAATTTCTATCAAACACAAACGCGCAATTTTGATTTACAAATGGTGCCTAGATGGAAAAATTGTATGTAGTATGCAGTTTTTTCGAGTACAAAAGGATGATAAAGGAATCACCCTATATAAATTTAACAATAATTCTTCTGTGATCCAATTTGCTTAAATATCCTTGAAGGAAAGATCTAATTGATATTCTCCAACCAAACTAATGGATCATGAGTTTTTTATAGCGGCGTAGTGAGAGGCTGGCCAAGAGTGTCTGAGATTGAACGGCCACGCTACAAGATGCGCAATTGGTTCTTACTTTAAAAACGCCCCTCGTAGTTCACTGACATTTTTCTGATAAGTTTTTAGAAAAATAAAATTTGGTGAAAGCTTTCTTCTATGGCGCCGCTGTTTTTTGCAATAGGTTTCAGAAGTTATATTTCCTGACAAGATTGACTTATCGGGTAAGACGTCAGTGAAACATGAAGAATAAATAAGTTCAAGATTATGTAAAAAATACCTGTTAATTATTCAGTCAATTGATCTTCGTATAACTTTTGGCCTCATTGTGTTAGTTTCTCAAATATGCCCCTTTCTTCAAAAATTGTATGAAAATCGTGAACATTATTAGAAGCGTTTGCTTGGAACCTGGTTGTATTTTGTAAGACTTCATCAATATATTGACAGTAGACTATACTACTATTATCCACAGATTTATCTACAAAGAGAGTTCACATAAGTATTCTCATTTAAATAACACCTCTGCTGATTTTGAAACATCAAGTAGGTTGACTCTGTATTTACTTATTTAAGTATAGTTTGAATGGAAAGCTTTTGGTCTTCTTAGGGTAAAAAATACATCTCTTGGGAACGTTTCCAAGATGCTTAACAGTTCTATCTATACTTCAGTGGTTCGTGAAGTTCAAAACCAACCTTCTTGATGACATACTCTCCAATGCTTACCCTGTAAAAAATTTGATGTTCGTTTGATTGCTGTTTTCATGTATTGCAGCATACTATAAATAGGGACTTTAATCATTCTAACATGTTTCTATTATTCCTATTCCACCTCTATCTTTACCCGACTCGTATATGCCCAATGAAACATTCGTCCAGCTATCCAGGCAGAACGTCTTCATCAATATTCACGCTCGGGAGTGTCTATAACATATGCCATTCCTGAAATTGAGGGCGTGCCCCCTCCAAAGCTTGATAAAAATATTTGGGCTATAATTCTGAAATAAAACCTGAAAGTTTTTGAACAGCAGTTCTGTAAAATACGTAAAAATAAGAAATGCGCAATCACATCTTAGCTAAAAATATATATGTTCGTAAAATATGTACCCAATAGAAATAGTAAATACCAAATGTAAGCTAAAATTATAATAAATATATAATTATCATCACTATTTATCATTGTTCATCACCATTCCTGAAAGACGGAATGTTCTCATTCTCACCTAAAAGCTGAAACAAACTAAGAAAAACGCTTACGCTACGAGTTTAAAGCATAAATAATCATATAGACCTATGAAATACGTAAAAATAAGAATTGTGGTAACTCATTTTGCTTGTAAATATATTTTTTCAATAAATAAAGGTGTTTTATCCAGCTGTCGATGGTAAAACAGTAATAGTGAATACCAAATATAATTAAAAAAAAACTTATAATAATAAATATAGTTTTGGTGACCATCGCGGGGCCACAGCCTGGAGTGAGTACCAAAGTTTTAAAAACTAGCCCTACTATCACTTAGTATTACCAGAACTACTACTACTGCTACTGCTACTACTACTACTACTACTACTACTACTACTACTACGACTACTACCTTCTTATCTGGTAACTTAGTATCTACGGATACACTTATGAAACCTGAACATTTCACATATCTCATTCCTTCTGGATGATTTTACGTCAGCCACGTGTTTTGTGTTTTGCAAGACATCTCTCCGAAAATGATTAACCATACGAAAATACCTCTTCATTATTTCTATTATCAATCCAAGTGATGTTCATTCTGCATGTACCAGCCTGCAATCATCTTCAAGAGGGTGAAGAAGTATTATTTTTGTCCTCGGAATGTTAGCTTCCCAAATATGTCCCTGAATTTCGTTAAAAGCTATATGAAAATTGTGAATATTTTTAGAAGATTTTGCTTGTAGCCTAACTGTAAATATTTCGTAAAGCTTCATCAATATATTGACAATAGTCCATACTACTATTAATTATCCACAGGTTTATCTACAAAGAGAGTTGACATAAGTACTTCCATTTAAATAGTACCTCTGCTTATTTTGAAACATCAAGTAGGTTGACTCTTTATTTCATGGATAATATCATAAATATGAAATATGAGTAGGTATAGTTTGAGTGGAAATCTGTTAGTCTTCTGGTAATTTTTGAAGATATATCTCTCAAGATTATGTAAAAAATACCTGTTAATTATTCAGTCAATTGATCTTCGTATAACTTTTGGCCTCATTGTGTTAGTTTCCCAAATATGTCCCTTAATTTCTTCTTAATTTCTTCAAAAATTGTATGAAAATCGTGGACATTATTAGAAGCGTTTGCTTGGAACCTGGTTGTATTTTGTAAGACTTCATCAATATATTGACAGTAGACCATACTACTATTATCCACAGATTTATCTACAAAGAGAGTTCACATAAGTATTCCCATTTAAATAACACCTCTGCTTATTTTGAAACATCAAGTAGGTTGACTCTGTATTTACTTATTTAAGTATAGTTTGAGTGGAAAGCTTTTGGTCTTCTTAGGGTAAATTTAGAAAATACATCTCTTGGGGATCGATTCCATGATCTTCAACCTATCTATACTTCAGTGGTTCGTGAAGTTCAAAACCAACCTTCTTGATGCCATACTCGCCAATTCTTACCCTGTAAAAATGTTGATGTTTGCTGTTTTCATGTATTGTAGCATACTATAAATCGGAACTTTAATCATTCTTAGCATTTTTCTATTGTTCCTATTCAACCTCTATCTTCATCCATCAACATTCACCCTGCTATCCTTTTTTGAAACAGCTGCCTATACAAATCATTATCATCGAAATTCATTATATCATGCTCGAGAGTGACTATAACTTGTGACATTTCTGAAATTGGGAGTGTCCTCTTTCCAAAGCTGGATAAAAATGTTTGGGCTATGATTCTGAAAGCAAGTCTGAACGTTTTCGGAAAGCAGTGCTGTAAAATATGTAAAAATAAGAAATGTGCAATCACAGCTAGCTAAAAATAGATGTTCGTAAACTATGTACCTAATAAAAATAGTAAATACCACATTTAATTTAAAATTATAATATATCATTTTCATCAATATTTAGCATAGTTAATCACCATTCCTGGAATACGGAATGTCCTCACTCTCACCTAAAAGCTGAAAAAACTGAGAAAAACACGCGCTACGATTTTAAAGCATAAATAATCATAGACAACAGACCTACGAAATACACCATATTGATACTTAGCAGTATTCTTTCAAATTCTGAATCCCTGTTTAACAGCTCGACCATGGACCCAGGGGAATTCCTTCCTTAACTTTCCCCTGTCTGCAAGGACATGATGAAGTGTTGTCTGTATCCCACGACGTGCCCCCACAACGCAGAGTGCCCAAAAAAATGTCCTAACATTTCCCTAGCTACTTGCTACTCCCGACCACTTGATTGGAGTTCTATGACGCAAACCTTTTTCCTGAAGCGTATATTTTATATGACTACCATGTGTTCGCATTTTATTATTTTCCTAACTTTTCTATTGAATCGACGCTTTTTCGTTGTGATCCCTAACTATCTTAATGGGGCACCCTGTCTGTCTGGGCGAGGGCAGTTTTGAAGAGTCGTCCGACGCATTCGTCAACCATGCTCGCTCTTCGCATTGGGCCAAATTAGTCAGTAGCGACAAGCGAGATAGATCGATGAAGTCGATCGATCTTACAAGTCAAGATCCGGCTCCCCAAAGTCTTCTTCCAACCCCGAAAAAGACGATGGTTCCACAGACCAAAAAAGCCCTCCGCCCTTTCATCGCTTGTTGTGTCCAGCTATCCTAAGGTAGTGTAGAAACCGAAGGAACATTGAAGACGCCCCTTCCAATTCTATCCTGTCGCTCATGGACCTAAATTTTCTCATAGCTATGTGCAATGCTCCGATAAATTCAAGACATAATCGACAGCCTACCGAGGATAAAAGGGCTAGTCAACCTCTTTCGCCAAATGTCTCAATTCACACTAACGAACCGGTTGAATAAGGGACTTCTACCTCATACAACCAGTAGGTTTATCAATCTCACAGCTCTCTCTCGTTTCGGCTGTAAACCCTACACCAATAAGAAAACCCTAAATGCACTTACATTTCAGCAAACTACTGTTGTCCCTGTACTCGTGCATGCTCTGCGCAAGAGCATACTATGTGTCTGAATCTCTCGATGTGCCCCTGCTTTTTCGCAGCAAGGCAAGGTGAAGAGTTGTCTCTTTCTCTTGACGTGCCCCCACTTCGCAGAGTGCCCAAAGAAATTCCCTAACATTTCCCTAGCTACTCGCTACTCCCGACCACTTGATTGGAGTTCTCTGATGAAAACCTGTTTGTTGAAGCTTATGTATTATATGACAATTCCGATTCCCTTTACTTTTAAAATTTGCAACCGTTATATCTTTCCTAACTTCTCAACTGAACTGACGCTTTTTCCTAGTGACGCCTAACTATTTAAGTGGGGCACCCTGTCTGGGGAGGGCTGTTTTGAAGAGTCGTCCGACGCATTCGTCAACCATGCTCGCTCTTCGCATTGGGCCAAATTAGTCAGTAGCGACAAGCGAGATAGATCGATGAAGTCGATCGATCTTACAAGTCAAGATCCGGCTCCCCAAAGTCTTCTTCCAACCCCGAAAAAGACAATGGTTCCACAGACCAAAAAAGCCCTCCGCCCTTTCATCGCTTGTTGTGTCCAGCTATCCTAAGGTAGTGTAGAAACCGAAGGAACATTGAAGACGCCCCTTCCAATTCTATCCTGTCGCTCATGGACCTAAATTTTCTCGGAGCTATGTGCAATGCTCCGATAAATTCAAGACATAATCGACAGCCTACCGAGGATAAAAGGGCTAGTCAACCTCTTTCGCCAAATGTATCAATTCACACTAACGAACCGGTTGAATAAGGGACTTCTACCTCATACAACCAGTAGGTTTATCAATCTCACAGCTCTCTCTCGTTTCGGCTGTAAACCCTACACCAATAAGAAAACCCTAAATGCACTTACATTTCAGCAAACTACTGTTGTCCCTGTACTCGTGCATGCTCTGCGCAAGAGCATACTATGTGTCTGAATCTCTCGATGTGCCCCTGCTTTTTCGCAGCAAGGCAAGGTGAAGAGTTGTCTCTTTCTCTTGACGTGCCCCCACTTCGCAGAGTGCCCAAAGAAATTCCCTAACAGTTTCCTAGCTACTCGCAACTCCCGACCACTTGATTGGAGTTCTCTGATGCAAACCTGTTTGTTGAAGCTTATGTATTATATGACAATTTCGATTCCCTTTACTTTTAAAATTTGCAACCGTTATATCTTTCCTAACTTCTCAACTGAACTGACGCTTTTTCCTAGTGACGCCTAACTATTTAAGTGGGGCACCCTGTCTGGGGAGGGCAGTTTTGAAGAGGCGTCCGCCGCATTCGTCAACCATGCTCGCTCTTCGCATTGGGCCAAATTAGTCAGTAGCGACAAGCGAGATAGATCGATGAAGTCGATCGATCTTACAAGTCAAGATCCGGCTCCCCAAAGTCTTCTTCCAACCCCGAAAAAGACGATGGTTCTACAGACCAAAAAAGCCCTCCGCCCTTTCATCGCTTGTTGTGTCCAGCTATCCTAAGGTAGTGTAGAAACCGAAGGAACATTGAAGACGCCCCTTCCAATTCTATCCCGTCGATCATGGACCTAAATTTTCTCGGAGCTATGTGCAATGCTCCGATAAATTCAAGACATAATCGACAGCCTACCGAGGATAAAAGGGCTAGTCAACCTCTTTCGCCAAATGTCTCAATTCACACTAACCAACCGGTTGAATAAGGGAATTCTACCTCATACAACCAGTAGGTTTATCAATCTCACAGCTCTCTCTCGTTTCGGCTGTAAACCCTACACCAATAAGAAAACCCTAAGTGCACTTACCTTTCAGCAAACTGCCCTAGTCCCTGGAACAAGTAGAAACAGCATGAGTATACACTACGTTAATAAAGGTCTCACTCTCACACTTCGGCAGGAAAGTCGGATGGAACAATTCTAGCGAACGTTTCGGCATGTGAACGGCTATAAAAGCTGTTTCATGTCAAAAAATTTACACTCGTACCATTTTCGTAGTTTGTTTTCATTGTATGGTACTCTTATGTTCTCTTAGGCCTGTATCGTCAGTCGTCCCACCAATTGTAGGGCGCCTTTATGGCCTCCTTGATTGTCATAGTTTTCTACTTCTCCGTGTCAGAACT